GGAATGCTACAGGAGGGGTTCGAGGAGAAGATCATGCACGCCACCGTGTCGATCGGCGCGATGAAGATCATGGCCTCCGACGGCACAAATGACACCGGCACCTTCGAGGGCTTTCGCCTGGCCCTTAGTGTGCAATCCGAGGCCGACGCCGATCGCGTGTTCAACGCCCTGGCCGAAGGGGGCTCGGTCGACATGGCCCTGGTGAAGACGTTCTGGTCGCCGCGATACGGCATGGTCACCGACAAGTTCGGCGTGGGCTGGATGGTGATGGTGCCTGGGGATCCGCAGTAGGGCGTATCGCAAACAGTTAACACAGATTCAAGAGAGAACGACCATGAACGCGACGCAAACCATACGCTCTGCATTACGCATGAGTTACGAATGGATTAAACCACTGGCCGACGATTTGGCCGATGCCCCACTGACATCGCCCACGCCGGGCGAGGGCAATCACCCGATGTGGATCATGGGGCACCTCACCTTCTCCAGTGCCGGGCTGTTGGCGATGATCAGCGGAGAGCCCAGCCCCTGTGAGAATTGGAAAGAGATTTTCCAAGGCGGTACGCTACCGAGCTACGACGCGGGGGTCTATCCTTCGTACGGAGACGTGCTGGGCACCTACGAGCAGACCCATCGCGCGACTTTGGCGTTGCTCGACGAATTGGGAGAAGCCCGTCTGGACGAAAAGCCGGTCGCCGTGTGGAGCGAACTCCAAGACGAGCCCGACTTCCAATCCAACGGTCGGCTGTTTCTGTTCATCGCCATGCACGAGATGTCGCACCGCGGCCAACTCGCCGACGCCCGCCGCGTGCTAGGGCGCAAGCCGTTTGCATAACACCGCCGCGAAAGCTCAAACCAAGGTGCCCGGGTGGCCCAGCCGCGCCGGCTGGGTCGGCGCAGCCGACAGGATGCTGTGAGCAAGAGTTTACTGGCCGGCAGAGATACCGCTTCAGAGAGCACGTGCGATCCGTACACTGTCGCGAGGATCGAAGTCACCGGCGATCACGACGTTCGCTTAAGGCATCTTGTCGCCTTCGGCGACCCAGCCGGCGCGGCTGGGCCACCCGTGAATCGGCGTATCGCTTTCGTCTTACTTGCGGGCACGCTTCCTTCGCCACATACCGAGGCAGATAGCCGTTCCGCTGAGTAGCAGAAGGTTGGTCGACGGTTCGGGGGCGGTGAAGGTGACGGTGCCTTGGGCCAGGATGTTGCCTGTGATTCGCACGTCAAGATTGAGCGAGTCGTCGAGACTGAGATCCGTTGTCCATGGGATGTTGAGCGTAACCAGGTACTCGTTCGGATTCCCGGTGGGATCAAAATCAACATGTCCCGGTTCGGTGCTGAACACACCATTCACAAAATCTTGCGCACCCAGTTCGTCGGCCGAGATGTCTGAAAGATCGATTAACTGGTCGTCGATAATTGCCGATATCGGTCCTTCCAGATCGATGTCCGCCTCGCCGCCGAATTCAAGAAATGTGCTGCCTACGCCAAAATCGCCGTTCTCATCAACGTGCAGCATATGTTTGCCGAGACCTTCGCCATTGAACAGCGTCGCGCTGCCGTCGGTTAACGAAACATTGGCCGTGCCGAACGAACCGAGGTCGACTTGACCGCTGATGTCGTTGGCCAGGTGAATTGCCTGCCGATTGAAGTGCCAGCCCACCACGCCCACTCCAGAAATGGCATCGAAGTCCACACTCACCGGGCCCTGCAGTTCCTCGCCGATTGTGCCCGGCAACACGGTGCCATCGATGCTGAACTCGAAGTCGACACGACTGCCGGGTAGCAGAACCATATCCATTTCGACACGCGTACGAGCCACCGCAGGAGCCGTTACCGGAACGATCTTAATGTCATCGAGCAAAGCACCTCGCTCATTCAACCCCGGTGTCACGTCGTCGGAGAGGAAGGACAGGGTGTAACTTTCGCTCTGTGCCACGAACACATCGCTGTGGCGGTCGTCCCAATAAGCGTTGTTGGCCAGCGTGTAGGGCAGCACTTGTTGCGTATCGCCCGGAGAAGACAACTCCACGGCCACCGCCGCACCTCCACTACGGGTGTCGGATGCAAACGCCTGGCCCCACTGCACCTGGTAAGTTTGTCCGACGGTAAACCCGCTGATGGTCTGCGAGAAACCGGTGTTCCCTTCCAGAAAGGCGTGCTGCAACCCCTCGGGGTTCGAGTCTAAGGCCCGGCGGAACCCACTGTTTCTCGTGATTCCGGCATCGTTGCTATCAAACGTCCAATCAGCCCCCGTGGGACCATTCAACGACGCGCCGGAAGAGAGCGTTGGAGACTCGAAGCCCGAGTTGAGAATGGTCTGTGCCGTGGCCGAATGCTCATTCGCCACAATCATCCCAACCGCAATCAAGCCGGCCAGGGCGGTGAAGAACAGAGGCTTCTTGGAACGAAACCGCACCGCGGATTCCCGATGCGTGCTGCAAACACATTGTATGGACATGATTCAGTGCTCTTTCACGAACTTCAATGAAGATCCCTACCCCACGGAAAGGAGCATCATTTTCGTTTGAAAATGCTGTTCATGCAATTGATTCTCGAGGATTTCATGAAATGCATGGTGAGGGGGATGAAGTCCCCCTGCGTGCTGAGCGTGCGGGTTCCCGCACGGACTATTGTGCAGTCTGGTTGGCACTCATTTCTCGACCTCGTTCAGTTCCTCCATGTGGCTGTAGACATCCTCGATGAATTCCTCATCCTCGTCCTGCATTTCCAGGCTTTGGCGGAATTCGAGAGCTTCGGCATCGACAACATAGTCGATCTCGCCGTGATGTTCCCGAACGATGTCGAGTACCGCATCCAGATCGGTACGAAAGTACTCTTTGCGAGGATTCGCTTTGTTGATGCGATTCCGGTGCAGGGCGTGGTGAAGCGCTTTTTCCAACGATGGAGCGTCATCCGAGCTGATCATTGCATGCACGTCGAATGGGAAGGGAACGGACGCGTCGCCCAGTTCTTTAATACGGTCGGCCGGTTCTAGACGGCGAGTCATGCCCACTTTGAAGACGCCTTCGCCGAACGAGCCAATGTTGGAAATGATGTAGACATGCCCAGATCTGGTTAGCTGTGCCTGGGATATCGCGCGTTGAGAACGTTCTTCTGCCTCCTTGAGTTGGGCTTGCAGTTGTTCGATCTCCGCACTGTGGGCGTCATGTGTTTCTGCCATGGCCTTGGCCAGGGCGAGGGCGATGGCTTCTCGTTCTTCCTCAACGCGTTGAATTTCTCGTTCGATTTCTTTTTCGCGAATCTTTTCTTCACGTATCTGTGCTTTGATACGAGCCTGTTCTTCGCGTTCGAACGCCGCCCTGACTACCCGCTCGTATTCGGCTCGCAGGTCCGCAATCAGTTGCTTCTCATCGTCCGCCGAGATTTCGAGATTCAAACGTCGGCACAACGCGATTACTTTCTCTAGCCGCTGCTTGCAGTTCGAGAAGTTATTTGGATTGAGCGACTTTGAGATCCACTTCACGCTATCGTCGAGATACCTCCGGCCCACACCGTCTGCAGTTACCGCGAGTTCCTTTTGGGCTTGTTGCTGTTTCTCGACGTCGAGAGCTACTTTGCGAACATGAATGTCGAGATTCGACAAGTCGCGTTTGAGAATACCGTTCTCTTCTTGTAATTCTTTGTAGGAAACAGGAAGCGAAGCAAAGTCGGACTGGGCTTTGGCCAGTTTCTTGCCTTCCTCTATCAGAGCGTCTCTTCTTTCTGCTTGCACCTTTGCAGTTTTCCTTGCCTCCGCTTCGAGAGTCTCTTTTCGCGATTTTAGCGTCTCGTGGGCATTCCTTAGCGTGTCGGCACGTTCGTCGAGTTGTTTTCGTTCCTCTTTGATTTTCTGCATGATGGAATGCAGAGCGAAGAACACACCCAATCCGCCGCAAATAACGCCGATGAAACAGACGACGATATAGTCCATCGATTAGCCCCTTTAAGTTTTCTTCTCCACACTTCGTGTGAGAAGAACGAAATAACTGGTCTTCTTGCACTTGGGACATCTTTGCTCAGTCAAGAACTTGACCTTCGGAGCACGTGCCACTACTCCGCAATGAGGGCACTTGGCCAAGGATACCGAGTCCATTGAAGTACTCAGCCGAACACAGTCGCCCGCGTCACCCGGGCATTGCACAACTCCCATCTGCTCCCATTTCTGTGTGATTCGAGCGCGAGACTTTTTACTCACGGATGCTGTTACCGACGCGCTCTCGTCGTCACCTGTCACTTCGAGTGAAACCCAGAACTCATGCGCTTCGTACATCGTGCTGCGCGATGCGGAAAGGCGATCGTTGATATTCTCGAAGGTGTTTTTTTCAATACGTTTCGTCCTCTTGAGCAGATCTTCCAGGTCAGACAGGCTCTCGGAATCGAATAGGAGCGGGGCGTATTCCAGCACGATGTCGATTGCCTCAATGCTGCGGAACTCGTTCCGGTTGAAACGACGCTCGAATTGCATCATGCCATCGATGAAGGCCCAGGCCGATCTCGCTGCGATCACGGCCTTGCGATACTCACCGGATTCCACCGCCGAGCGAGCCTTGTTCAAGGCCGCGAGATACTCTTCGCGGTGAGCCTCGAGTTCAGCTTTTTTCATTGCCATCAGAGATATTCAACAGCAAAGGAATTGATGGATCACCCATCTTAGATGGGAGGTGCCCGCTTCAAGGAGGGGTGACTAATGTATACCGGTTTGCTGCCACATTCCACTTTTTCTTTATGGCTCTTCTGACCATTCCTCCCACAAAACCGCTGAAGCTCTCGTGTTTGTGGGTGAAATCCTTCTTTTTTTCCCACGCCGCGTTATATCCGTCCTCGCACCTCGCTCTGGTCTTAGTAGCGAATCGATCGATCTTGCTTGGATTTCTGTGACTTAGGGCGTGAGTCGCCGCAGGGGGCGGTGCGGGCGCGGTGGGTTGTGGCCTGCCGTGCTCGGGCCGGGGCTCTGCGGTGGTGAGCGTCGCACGTTCTGCGAGGAGTATCGAACGATGTCTTTGATTAGAAAACGACTTTCGACATTGGCCGCGGCCGTGGCCCTGATTGCGGCGGCGGTGTTTCTCTGGCCGGCCAAAACGCAGGCGGCTGGAATGCTGATTGCCGACGGCGGGCTCGGCGGAGTGCTCACCATCGAAGAGCACACGGCACAGGTCACCATTAACAACGGCGTGGCCGTGACCGAAGTGACCCAGGTGTTTCGCAATACCGAGAACCGCCAGGTTGAGGCTCTGTATTTATTCCCCGTTCCGGAAGGGGCCACCGTGGCGAACTTCAGCATGTGGATCGGCGGCAAAGAGATGATCGGCGAGGTGGTCGAGAAGGAGCGTGCCCGCGAGATCTACAACAGCTATAAGCAGGTGCGGCGCGACCCCGGCCTGTTGGAGCAGGTCGACTATAAGAACTTCGAGATGCGGATCTTTCCCATCGAAGCCAACGCCGAGCAACGGGTGCAGATCGCGTACTATCAGGAACTGAAGTACGACCACGATTGGGCCACGTATGTCTATCCGCTGGCCACCGCGCCCCGCGAGGGTGTCGATGCGGCGGTCGCGGGCAAGTTCGGGCTCACCCTGCATGTGAAGTCGGCCGTACCGATCACGAAGCTCGAAAGCCCCAGCCACGGCGAAGAGTTCGTCGTTGTGCAGCACGGCGATAGATACGTCGAAGCCAGCCTGGAAACCGAAGGCGGCAATTTGAACCGCGACCTGGTGTTGGCCTATCACGTGGCCCGACCGCAAACCGGTATCGATGTGATCACCTCGCGAACCGGTGAGGAAGACGGTTACCTGATGCTCACGCTGACCGCGGGCGAGGAACTTTCCGAGGCCTACAGTGGGATGGACTACGTGTTCCTGTTGGATATCTCAGGCAGCATGGTCAACGACGGCAAGCTGCGTATGTCGCGAGAGTCGATCGGGGCCTTCATCGAATCGCTTTCCGAAGAAGACCGCTTCGAAGTGATCACGTTCAACGTCTCGCCAAACACCCTGTTCAACGAACTGACGCCGGCCACCGAAGAGACGCTGGCCAACGCCACGCAGTTTCTCGAAACGCAGCAAGGTCGTGGCGGTACGGTGCTGCGACCGGCCATGTCGTTGGCCTACAAGTACATCGACTCCGACAGGCCGTTGAACGTGGTGGTGCTCAGCGACGGCATGACCGAGCAAGCGGAACGTGACGAGCTGTTGGCCTCCATCGGCTCGCGACCCGCGGGTGCCCGCGTGTTCTGCGTGGGTGTGGGCAACGAAGTGAACCGCCCCTTGCTCAGCCAGTTGGCCGACGAAGCCGGTGGGCTGTCTGCTTTTCTTTCGGCCAGCGATAACTTCGAACGTCAGGCCGAAGCGTTCCGCCGCAAGCTGCTGCGTCCGGCTGCCTCGAACGTGAAGATCAGCTTCACCGGCGGCGATGTGTACGACGTGGAACCGCAGGAACTGCCGAATCTGTTTCACGGGATGCCGGTTCGCCTGTACGGTCGCTATCGAGACGCGGGCAAGGTCGAGGTTCGCGTTCAAGCCGAAGTGAACGGGGCCCCGCTCGATCAAGCCGTGTCGATTAAATTGCCCAAACGCGACGACACTAATCCTGAGATCGAACGGATGTGGGCCTTGGAGAAAGTGAATCGCCTGCTCCGCACGGCCGATCGCCAAGGCAACCGCGACGCGGTGCTGGATGAGATCGTGCGACTGGGCGAGACCTACTCGATCGTCACCGAGTACACCTCGTTCCTCGTGCTCGAGAACGATGCCGAGTACAAGCGGTGGAAGATCGACCGTCGCAATCTTCAGCGGCTGACGCGTGACCGGGGTCAACAGCAACTGGTGCGTTCCGAGTTGGAACAACTGCGAGAACAGGCCCGCGCTGACATGGGCCCGCAGAAGAACCAGCCGGAAGAGCGGTTCGTGCAGCGGAACGATAGCCCTTCGCAGCCGTCGCCCCAGTCGAGCCCCCGCAGCCGGGACATCGACATTGCCCAGAACACCCGCGGTGGTGGTGGGGCGATCGACCCGATCAGCGGCGGCATCGTGCTGGCCCTCGGCGGATTGGGTTTCGCGGCACGACGTCGCAAGAAGTCGGCCGTGTTGAATGAGGATGCCAGCCAGGGAGGGGACGAGTAATGGCTTTCCTGAACAAGGTTCGGGCAGTGACGAGGCGCACTCCGTGCGTCTCGCTGCTGTTGGTGGTCGCCGCCGTGGCGACTTACTTCGTTCCCACGCTGGCTGAGTTGTTGCAATACGACCGAACCGCCATCGCCGCCGGCGAAGTGTGGCGTGTGGTAACCGGTCACCTCGCGCATTGGTCGCTCGACCACCTGGTGTGGGATGCCGGCGCGTTGCTGGTGCTGGGCCTGTTGTGCGAAGTGCCGTATCGGCGAGCCTTCAACTGGTGCGTCGCCGGCACGGCGGTGTTGGTCCCGCTGGCCGTGTGGACCTTCATCCCGGAGATGAGCACCTATCGAGGGCTTTCCGGCATCGACTCCGCATTGTTCGTGCTGCTGGCCGTGAAGATGATGGCCGAAAGCCTCACCGCCAAACGCTACACCCCCGCCGCACTGTGCGGGGCGGTGCTGATTGCGTTTGCCGGCAAGATTGGTTTCGAGTTCGCCACCGGGGCGACCTTGTTCGTCGACAGTGCGGCCACGAACATGGTGCCAGTTCCGTTAGCCCACGTTGTGGGCGGAATCGTCGGTGGTGTTTGCGGTTTCTCTGGTTTGATTCACCAGAAGTGGACCGCCGCGGTCAACTACTCTTCGCAGGTCTTCATCGCTTCAAAACCGGCGCGGGTTAGTGAGTAGGCGCCGTCGAAGTCTTCTTCGATGAGATATTCTTTTTCGGTCAACTCTGCGAGCGCCGATTTGTGCTTCTCTAAGTTCGGGCCGAAAAAGCAAACCATCTTGCCTGGTGTGGCCAGGTATTGCTGAAAGGTACGCAGAACCGTTTTCTCGGGTAGGGATAACAACACTCTCTCCCTTCTAAAGTCTCGAGCGATCGGAGTTGATCCACGCAGGTTGTTCGATGCGAGCAACTGCGTGCCATGAAGCGAGCCACACCGGGGGCGTGGACTTCAATAGAGCTTCCGTTCAGCGGCTGCCAGCAACCCGCGGCGTTTTCTTGCGCTTGCTGCCCGACGCCTTGCCGTAACGGCGTCGCTTCGAACCATTCGACGAACCCGAGGAGCCGCCTTCTGTGGCTTGTGCACCTCGACGAGAACGTCGCTTGGAGGGGTATTTCTTACCGCGTGTTCCAGCCTTCGGGCGACCGGGATGGGGACCTGGCTTCTTCGCCTCATCCATACCATTGTTACCGGTTTCGGGCTCCATTGCACGCGATTGCAAATGATTCTGCTCGGCGGGAAGTTTTTCTACCGCGACGGATTGCCCGGTGAGCTTCTCGATTCTCCGCAGCCGATGCCGCTCGTCGACGGCACAAAGCGAAATGGCTTGGCCCGAAGCCCCCGCCCGGGCGGTACGCCCAATGCGGTGAACATAGGTTTCAGGCACTTCCGGCATGTCGTAGTTGATCACGTGCGAAACGTCGGAAAAATCGAGCCCGCGGGCGGCCAGGTCGGTGGCGACCAGCACGGGAGGACGTTTCGAACTGAACTCACGAATGACCGCTTGCCGCTTGGCCTGGCTTTTATCGCCGTGGATGGCCATCGCGCGAATGCCGTCTTTCTGCAGACCTTTGGCAATCTTATCGGCACCGCGCTTCGTGCGGGAGAACACCAGCGTCTTCGAGCGGGCCGTGTCTTGCAGGTACCACGTGAGCGCGGCGGCCTTGCGATTGCGCTCGATGAAGTACACACCTTGCGATACGCGTTCGGGCGTGGAAGCGACCGGGGCCACGTGCACTTCGAACGGGCGACGCAACCACTGCGAGGCCAGGTCGCGAATCTCCTTCGGCATGGTGGCCGAAAACATCAGGGTTTGGTTTCGATTAGGCACCAGGGCCACGATCTTTCGCAGGTCGTGGATGAAGCCCATGTCGAGCATCTGGTCGGCTTCGTCGAGAATCAGAATCTCGACGGCGGCCAGCTTCACAAAGCCTTGGTTCACCAGGTCCAACAGTCGACCGGGGGTGGCGACCAGGATATCGACGCCCGACTGGAGCGCTCGAACTTGCCGGCCTTGCTTCACACCACCGTAGATAACGGTGTGCCGCAGCTTGGTGAAGCGGCCGTACTTGCTGAGGCTGTCGCCAATCTGTTGGGCCAGTTCACGGGTGGGGGCCAAAATCAAACTGCGAATTGCACGCTGCGGGCGACGCTGTTTGCCGCGACCCTTCGGGTGCAGTTCTTGCGGCTGCTCGGGAGCAGAGTCGAGTAAGCGTTGCAAAGTGGGCAGCGAAAAGGCGGCCGTCTTCCCGGTTCCTGTCTGGGCGCAACCGATCAGGTCGCGGCCTTTCAGCACTTCGGGAATGGCCTTTTCTTGAATCAGTGTGGCGTCTTCGTAGCCGGCATTCTTCAAACTTCGTTGCAGGGGCTCGCTGAGCGAGAGACTTTCAAACTTCATGTACGTTTCGTTCTTTCAATCGATAGATATCATCCAGCGGGGCACAGTACTTCCGCTGAGTTGAAGCAATCGTAAAACCCCGGTGCACTCCAACTGGGTGCCGCGGCTAGCTTGTGTAGCCGTGCGTTTCTCGAGGTCCTCACCGCTGGACAAGCCAACAGTGACACTCGCGTGAGGGTTTGAAATTGCTTCTGGTTAGCTGTCAGCTCGCGACGATCAGCGCGGGCAATGCCGCCTGATTTCAGCACGATCGTGGAACGGGAAAACAATGCCCGTCGACCGGCAGCAGGGTGATTCAGGAGCAAGAGAATCAGTCGCGGTCGAAAGCTAGATACCGGGAAGGTTAGGAAAGTTTGCCCGGGGAGGGCGTCCCGATGACCGCAGTCTCGAAGTTGAATGAACACGACACATCCGTTGCGTCGGTCTCGCACCAATCTGTTACCAGTCTAGCACCCGGGGGCTCCCAGTCAATGGCACGGGGTTTTAGGCATCGCTGCTAGCGAACGACTGAGGGCCTTTGAAAACGGCTGTACGGGCTAGAAAAGGTTCCAATCCTCGGCTGAGTTTGTACGTGGGTGCCACTGCTGGCTCGTCCAGCAGTGCCTAATTCGGACTTCGCACTGTTGGGCAAGCCAACAGTGGCACCCATGCAAGGCCACATAATTGCTGCTAGTTTGACGGTGCAATTTGCTGATTCAGCACCTCCACCAACTTGGGCGTGTCGAGCGTGCGTGTGATGCGGAACACACCGGCAGGGCCGTTGGGGTGACCGCTGTAAATAAAGATGTGTTGAACTCCGCGGTCCCGATCCACGACCGCCGAGGCCGGATGAAAACCGTCGGCCGTGGAGTAGAACTTGCCCTTCCTGGCCAGCAGGCGACACTCCCGTTTCCACTTGCCCGCGGGCCAATCGGCCGGGTCGATACTCCACAGCCACAGTTCCATATGGTGCCGCTCAGAGCGAACCATCTCGAACCGCTCGCTCACCGGGTTGAACGAAAAGTCGACCGTGTCGATCAGCCGCGGGTTCTGCAAGTTGGTTGAAGTGACCTCGGGTTCACTGCCCGGCTTCCACGTGATCTGCCGGTGTTCGTTGCCGGTGGTTTGATCGCGGGTGATCAACAGGAACTCATCCTCCCACAGCAGTGCGGCTGGCTCGTATTGTTCGAAGCCCGCGTCGTACGTCTCGACTTCCCAGTGGGCACCGCCGTCGGGAGATTGCAGCACAACAAGCTGATCGCTTTTCTTCGGGCCGGCCGCCGTACCGAACCAGTTGCCGAACACGGTCAGCCCGAGCCGGGGATGATCGAGCACCTTCGGACCAATGTTCACAATCGGGTGCGGGAAGGTATCGTCGCGGAGGGCACCAGAAAAGTGTGACCACGTGCGGCCATGGTCATCCGAACGAAATACGCCGTGATTGTTGATCGCCACGACAGCACCATCGCGAGTGGTGCCGATGGCGTGCAGGTGGACCTTGTAACCCTCGGTCGACTTGTTGTCCTTCTCGAACTTGAACCGATGCGACAGCGGGACGATCCCGCCCCGCAAGCGATCCTCAGGCGACATCGCGTCCCGCAAGTCGTACGGCTGTGACCAGGTTTGCCCAGCATCATCACTCCGCAGCACAATGCCATACGACATCTTCTCGTGCGGACGACCGGCTCCCTTCGGATTGTGCCCCGGGATGCGGCGATGCATCACCACGATCGCATCACCCGCCATCGTCGCAATCGGCCACCCAAAGTGATTGCAATCTCCCGGCGGATCAACCGGCAGATTCACCGGAGCAATCTCCAAGACCCCCGCCGCTTCCGCCGCTTCAAGCAATGCCTGCTGCTCATCCGTGGGCGCGAGTAATTGCTCAGCGAGTGAAGCGTCCACCTCACCCGCAAGGGCAGGCTGCCCATCCACCGACAACCCCACACCCAGGAACAGGCCAAGTGAAACAACCGCAGAAACCCACAACCGCCAACAAGTCATAATGCCAAGTCCACAAAACAACGCTTTGAATAAAAGGTAGGGTGCTGTCGAGCGTAGCGAAGACGCACCAACGATTCTCGAGAACATCCAGACTATTCCGTAGTCCCCTTCTTCGTGCGGCGCTGTGCACCTTCAGCCAAAGATGATCCGACAACGATGAGTAATGGCGCGACAAAGTAAATTTCAGGAATCATGGTGTCTGACAAATCATAAAGCTTGGCAATCGCATAGTTCGCAATCATCGCCCCAACCCCCATCCCGGCAAGGATTCCCCCGCAGTATTCGCGCGTGAATCGTGTGCGGCGCATCTGGTACCACTTCAGTTCGGGGGTTTGGGCGTTTTGGTTCATGGTTCGCTTTCCAACAGAGTAATTACAGCAGAGCAAACTCAGTCACGAGGCAACAGGCTCAAGCTTCACCTTGATCGTAGGCAACGGAAGCTCTTGCCAATCATATATCCTGCCGAGCACTGGCTCCAAACGAAACGAGGTGCGTTTATATCCCGGGGCATCGATTTGAATCCACAAGTCTTCGCGGATGTAAAGTTGGCTCTTATCGACGAACCAACTCCTACGAAACGTGTATTGGAAGCTATACGTAAACCTCGCACCGCCAACGGCATCACTGGTCGCATACAAGCCGGGAGTATTGGCGTTTGGCATCGAGTTGGAATCGAGCGGAATTCCACGCGGTAACGAAATCAGGTTAACCTCACGCAGACAAACGTCGGCCGCCTTAATTGGATTACCCTGCGTGTCGACAATCTTCACCCGGATAGCCAGTGTTGAGCTTCCATCGCCGTACGCAACGGGGAGACCGCCCGCGAGAAAAAACGCCGCCAGCCCAAGCAACAGTATGGAAGGGGCATAGTAGCGAGAATCGCGTTTCGAGATACCAACCCCCAACAACACACCGCCACACGCGAACACAAAGAAGAAACCTCCGATCCACCCACCCCAAGCAATTAGTCCGAAGAACAACCCACAGGCGGCCATTGCGGCGAACGTCTGCACGACCGTGAATTGAAATCGCGGTGTGGGCGATTCTGTTGGCGGCGGTGTGTTCATGCTTGCATTGCGGTGATCTTGGTGTCATGAATCGCCGGGCAAATGGTGCGTCTTCGCTGCGTTTGACATCACCCTGCGCTTCGATTCAATAACTTTCCCGCAGTCGGTTATCAAGCTGGTGACGATGTTTTTGGAGTTCAACGATGTGGCGTTCGTGCTTCATAATGTCTTCACCCGTGTCCGGCATGTTGCATACCTGCTGCAAGTGCCGTTCTAGATGAACGACCACGTCGCTATGTTTCTGGACTGCGGACTCTTGGTTCACGAGGGGGACCGCAGGCCAGGCTTCCATGCGAGCCTTAGACGCTTCGAACACTTCTGGCCAGGTCGCAAGGCCGGCTTCCCAACTCGCATACGTGTAGTCAAAAGCAGCCTGGGCTGCGGTGGCCTGACGATAGGGGTGATACCAACGTGCCAAGGCGGCGCCGGCTATGCCGACGAAGCTGATAAGAATGAACAGTGCAATCACGGTGAAGCGAAGTCGACTTCTAATACGAGTTGGAGTCGCTCGCATAGTCAACCTTCATGTTTCATGAAGAATTGTGCAGGTACGCTGAAGTTGCGATCGTGCGGTGCCCGCGGCGAGGCACAGAGACGCTCCGCGAATTATCCAGTAACCCCCGCTGGCCCGCAATTTTTCGGCCCGGCGCATGCGGCGGCGGCGATAATTCCCCATTCCCGCGGGCCGGGTGGTGTCCTTGGGTCATTTCCGGGGCATTGCTACACTGGAGGGGAATGATTGGCTTGTCGATTTGAGTGTGTTGGGTTGGCCCTTGGGCTGGCGTTGCCTGCTTGTCTCGTCTTGCTTGTCGACCGGTCCGCTGCGATCTGGCGACGTGCGTTGTCGGTGGCGAACCGGGTGACTTTCCTGCGCCAGGGAGACCTTCGCCATGCGAGTTGAAAAGAACACCGTCGTCGCCATCGACTACAAGCTGACCGATGACTCGGGACAAGTCCTCGATTCTTCCGAGAGCCACGGCCCCATGTCGTACCTGCACGGCAACAACGGCATCATCCCCGGGCTCGAACGGGAACTCGACGGTAAAGAAGTCGGCGACGAGCTGAAGGTCTCCGTCGCACCGGCCGACGCGTATGGCGAACGTAACGACGCCCTGCGGCAGGAAGTTCCGCGAAGCCAGTTCCAAGGGGTCGACGACCTGAGCCCTGGCATGCAGTTTCGCGTGGAATCCAACAATGGCCCGATGGTGATCACGGTGGTTGAAGTGGGCGACGAGCAAGTCACCATCGACGGCAATCATCCCCTGGCCGGCGTGAACCTCAACTTCGAAGTAACCGTTCGCGACGTCCGCGAAGCCACGGCCGAGGAACTCCAACACGGCCACGCCCACGGCCCCGGCGGACAAGAGCACTAGGCACACGGCTCAACCATAGACCACTAGCCGTAGGTTAAATCTTGAGGGAAGCGAAGGTAGACGACGACATAGCGCATGGTGTATCGCCTTGTGTGGAGACCAGGTTTCGTAACAAGTACCGGTCTATCGCGAATCTCCAGCATCCCCAGTCGTCGGCCTGACCTTCGAGTGCCTGATAGAGTCTTCCTGCGTTTGCGCCAATCCGCCTAGTTTCACCAGTCCGCTCTCGTCCATCTATAGATAGCACTCTCTTCCACAGTTTCTCGAAAATAGTTCCCCTCTCTGTCCGCTCTTCTGGGTGGAAGTTGATTTTACAGGTAGAGTCCGCGTGTCGTGCGTTGGCTTTTATCTGCAATCGCTTGCGTAGGCGGTCTGCTTACGTTTGATCACTTAGTTTCTGCGCCGTTGGCGCGGTTGTAACACTCGTTCTGCGCGCTGGGGTAGAGCCGTACGAGGGGTGCTCTTCTCGGCGACGTATCAGTCGTCACGCATGAGAGCGTGTGGGAACGGTTCGCACGAATCTCATCATCTTGTTGATCATGGAGTGCTCACGATGGCTCAACTGCAAGCCGTAAGCATGACGTACGAGCCGTTTAGCAAAGAGCCTGAGTACATCGAGTGCAATCGGGCTTTTGTCGAACGCTTGCCTTTGGAAAACGTTGACCGCTTCCTCGACATCGCCTGCGGAACCGGCACGGTCAGCTCGCTGCTGTTGGAACGTTTCCCCGAAGCCCATCTCAACGGTGTCGATCTCGACCCGGTGCAAATCGATCTGTCGACCGCCACCTGGACTGAACTGGGGCACACGGTTCGTCACGGGTACGAACTGACCGAAGACTACGAGAACGGCAAGCCGGTAATCGTGCTGGGGGTGGGCAGTGGCGATGACTTGAAGTTTCCGGATGAGACCTTCGATTGCGTGACGATCGCCAACGCGATTCACATGCTGCCCGATATGTCGAAGTTCTTTGCCGAGGTCGCCCGGGTGCTTAAGCCAGGCGGCGTGTTCGGGTTCAACTCCGGCTTCTACGCCGGCTGTAACCCACCCGGCACCGAGCGGCACATGTACCAATGGCTACGTGAAGCCACCTACTACATCGACAAGTGGAACGAACGCCGAAAGGCAGAAGGCAAAGAGCCCATCCGTCGGCAGCACGGCACCACGCGTTCGGCGTTTCAAAACCGCTGGTTGAACCCCGGCGAATGGACCGACCATCTTCGCGAGCAGGGGTTCGACTCAATCGACATCAACGAACGAACGCTGCAAATGGACGTGCGTTGCCTGCAGGCCCTGGTTGCCTACGGCGGGCTGGTCGAAGTGGTGATGAGTGGCTACCCGATCGAAGAAGCCAGCATCGCCTTGCAGTCGACCGCTCCCAAGGCACTCGAACTGCTCGGGCGAGATACGCTTCCGCGGCAGTGGCTGGAAATATGGGCCACCAAACCAAAGTGATGTACTGAATCCGCTCTCGGAGAGGCAGGAGCTGACCCGTCTTCTTTTCTAAACGGAGGTTTACCCGTGAGTCATGCCAACACAGTCTACGATCGAGAAACGTTGTTCACCGAAATCGCTTCCATCGTGGAATCGATGACCGCCGACTGGGACACCTCAGCCAGCGACGGGGTGACCAACGACACGCGATTGATCGCCGACTTGATGTTCGAGTCGATCGACATCGTGCAATTCATCGTTGCCATCGAAGAACGTTTCCACCGTCAGGATCTTCCCTTCGAACAGTTGCTGATGGTCGATGGTCGATACGTGGAAGAACTGACGATCGGTGAGGTGGTCACGTTCCTCAACGAGCAACTGGCCTCCTAGGCTCTAACCCATGAACATCCACGCCCACGCGATGTTCTCCGCCTGCGCGGAGGGTGCGGCATGACCAAACGCGAGCCCCGGCTCAAGAACCAGGTGGCCATCGTCACCGGCGGTAGCGCTGGGATTGGCCTCGAGACCTGTCTGGCGTTCGCCCGTGAAGGGGCCCGACTGGTTATTGTGGCCCGCAATGCCGAGCGTTTGGCCGAGACCGCCCAGCAGGTGGTCGCCGCATCGCTTCCCGGTGCACCACCGCCGCTGACATTGCAGCTCGATGTGAACTGCGAAGAAGACATGCGCCGCATGGCCGAGGAGACACTGGCCGCCTTCGGGCAGATCGACATCCTCGTCCATGCGGCAGGGATCTTACGTCCGCCGGGGGCTCGCCTGCGAATGGTGGCTCAAATGCCGCCCGCGGAATTCAACGCGGTCGTTGATATCAATCTCCGCGGTACCTTCCTGGCCAATCGAGCCGTGCTGCCGGCCATGATTCGTCAGCACGCCGGCAACATCGTGAATCTCTCCTCGCTTTCCGGTCGGGTCGGCATTGCCTTCGACGGTCCGTACTGTGCGTCGAAGTTCGGCGTGGTCGGGCTCAGCGAATCGCTGGCCGACGAAGTCCGCGGTCACGGCGTACGTGTGCAAGCCCTGCTGCCCGGCATGTTCACCGGTGGGGTATGGAATCAGTCTGGCCTTCCGGTGCCCAAAGACCTCACCCCGTGCAGCCGCGTGGCCGACACCATCGTGCAACTGGTCGCGCTGCCCTGGGATGTCACGCTGGGGATGCCCGTCGTCGAACCCCTGCTGGCCAGCAAAGCCTCGGCGGGTTGGCGAGCCGGCGGAGCGAAGCGGCCCGCACGCAACACTTCGGCCAGTCCCTCCACTTCACCCGCGTCCACTACCTCCACGGAGCGCAGTACCATGTCGAGTTACTCACCTGACGAAACCTCGTTGGACGGGAAGGTCGTCATCATCACCGGCGGCACCGGCGGTATCGGGCTGGCCACCGCCTACGCGGTTACGGCCGAAGGCGGTTCGGTCGTCATCTGCGATGTGAACGAAGAGCGAATCGCCGAGTGTGTCGAAGCCGTGGGGCAAGCCTCGTCGCCCGAACAGGTGCACGGCCTGCGCATCGACGTTCGCAGCGAGGAAGACGCGCGGCGGATGACCGAAGAAACGCTCGATCGCTTCGGCCGGCTCGACGCCCTGGTGGCCTCCGCCGGAATCCTTCGCAAGCGAGGCACCCCGCCCAAGCAGTTGGTGAAAGTCAGCGCCGAGGAATGGGACGAGGTGATCGACATCAACCTCAAAGGCATCTTTCTCACCAATCGGGCCGTGCTGCCGAAGATGATCTCGCAGCGTTCCGGCACCGTGATCAACATCTCGTCGGTCTCCGGCCTTCGCGGCCGCGCCCACGACGGGCCCTACTGCGCATCGAAGTTCGGCGTGATCGGCCTCACCCAATCGGTGGCCGACGAAGTCCGCAGCTACGGCGTGAAAGTAATGTCGGTCTTGCCCGACGCCATCGACACACCTATCTGGCAGCAAAACCACCCCATCCCACCCCCCAGCGAATCGCTGCCGCCCGAGCGCGTGGCCGACCTGATCGTGTTCCTCCTCAAGCAACCCGAGGACACGATTCTCACCTCCCCCGTCATCGCCCCCCTAGGAGCCCGCACCCGCAAGCCAGCCGAACGCAAAGCTGTGGCAAAATAGCGTTGGGAAACAGGTCAGGTGCCGTCGAACGAAGTGAAGACGCACCGCCGAGTTGCCAGTTGGTTCGCCATTTTATGTTAGCCGGCAGCGCGATGGTGCGTCTTCGCTGCGCTCGACCGCACCCTACAATCGCTGGATTTTTCTTGATCCTTCCCCGACGGCTGGTATCTTGCAAGGGAAGGTCGATGCCGACGTAATGCGTGGCTTGTTCTTTTGTGACGCCCTGTTTCTCGAAATAGGCCGATCACGTACACAAGGCAAGCACGTCGTCGGCGCGACCTTCGTTTGTTTGGTGAGATCATGAAATCACTATTTCGCAGGCGGTGTGTCTCACACGCCTTCAACTTCCGCTCAATCAATGCCCGCGTGCAGAGTGAGGCTCTCCCAAGTGCTAGACCCACATCTGCATGCATTGCTAAGGCGAAATGACGACGGTGAAATCGTCATCCGCTGGGGCCGTGCGATTGGGCGTCTGGCATTGATGATTACGATTTTCGTGGTGATGGGCTGGCTCGTGGACTACTTCCGAGGTCAGCCGTTCCGCCCCACCCGAATGATTGTGCTCTATGGGGGCATGGTCGTCTGTCTCGTCTGGCTGCTGGGGGCGACACAACGCCAGGCCCAAGGCAAGCCGAAGTGGCAGTTCCAGCTGCGCGACATTTTAGTTCTCATCACAGTGATCGGCGTGATCTTAGCCACCGGTCGTTGGGAGCGAGATTATGCACTTGCAAAGCAAACTGACCGGCACACCCTCTCGGACGAAATCGTCGAGCTTACCGGCGCAAGGCGCGTAAAAATCTCGGGCAATCCTGGTAGCACCATGATTTTTGGCATTAGGCCAACCTTTGGAGACGGTGACCTGGACAAACTCATGCAACTCACCGATCGATTGATCTCACTCGACGCCCCCATCACCTTTCTGGATTTAAGCGGTACGCAAATAACCGACCAGGGAGCCGCCGCCCTGGCGAGCTTGGATTCCCTCGAGTTTTGCTTTTTAGATAAAACACAAGTCTCCGACTTGGCGGTAGATGAACTGCAGCAACTCCAACATCTGAAGGTGCTCTCTCTAGGAAACACCACCGTGTCCACCGAACGACTCAAGCAGCTAAGCATCGATCGGCCGGATTTGGATATCGAGCCGAAGACTTATCAGGTGAAACGGCCGTAATGTGTCTCGTGCCAAGCCGCGCAGGTCAAGGCTTGCCCTGACTCCGATTGGTCCTATTCTTGCGGGCGAGAGACGGCCACAAGTGCGAGCAAGCTGGGTGCTGTCAGGTCGAGCCCTGACCCATGCGGCTTTGCTACTTCCGGTGTGGTAAGCTCTGAATCTCCGCTCAACTTCCCCCCGCCACCCATTCCAGCCCGAAGCGCCCCATGGATCGGCCGACCATTGAAGAGGTTCACAGGGACGAGTCCACTCCTGCTCGTCGGGAAGCGGCGAAGCTGCACTGGCTTCTGAAGCGTAACGATGACGGCGAGATCGTCATCCGCCGGGGCCAAGTCGTGCGTCGCTTGACGCTAATGAACTTGTCGGCCTTGGGTGGCGCCTGGCTGACAAGCTTCTTACTTGGAAAACCGATTTCAGTCTTCTTGGTCGTCTCCATGTGCGGCTGGATGTCGATACTATTTCTTGTCGCCTTGAATGTATCTTTGCGACGAGCCCAAGGAGCGTCCGTGTGGCAGTTTCGGCTGCGAGACGTCCTAATTGCCGTCACTGCATTCGCCACTCTTTTTGCGCTAGCTCATTTGGAAAGGGACAAAACGCTTAGTTACTATACCGCCCTTCAGGAGATCGCCAACGAGATCGAGCGGCTTGTTGACGGCGGCTCTGTATCAGTCTCGGGCAACCCTGGCAGCACGACAATCCAAGTAACTCGCCCAACCTTTGACGATGGTGACCTGGAGCAACTCCTACAACTCACCGATCGATTGATCTCACTCGACGCCCCCATCACCTTTCTGGATTTAAGCGGCACGCAAATAACCGACCGGGGAGCCGCCGCGCTTGCGAGCTTGGATTCCCTCGAATACTGCTTTCTGGACAAAACACAAATCACCGACCAGTCCGTGGATGAACTGCAGAAGCTCCAACATCTGAAGGTGTTTTCTGTACGAAACACCGCCGTGTCCACCGAACGACTCAAGCAGCTAAGCATCGATCGGCCGGATTTGGACATCGTGCCAAAGACGTATCAGGTGAAACGGCCGTAACGTGCCCCGTGCCCAGCATTCTGTGGGACAATTTCGCGGCGGCCATTTATAATTTGGCTGCCATGCGAATGAACACGCAGATGCCAAAGAGATTAGCCAGCGGCTCTTGGCAGCTTTCAAAGCTGTTTCACATCCGCTTTCTTATCGAGGTAGCCTGCAAGGCAGAAGCCAGCGGCCAGCCAGGGTACACAAAGCTCGCTTGGCCATTGAAGTTAAACGAGCGCGGTGAAATTGAGCTGCACCGGCGCCGCATCCTCTTCCGTTACGCTTTGATGGCGCTGGGGTTGCTGTTGCTATTCTACGGACTCGGCACTTCTATAAAGCCGCTTTCGTTTGCTCTGATTTGCGGAGCAACTCTACCGGTCGTGTTTGTGTTGCTGAAGGGAACTCAACGGAAGGCCCAGGGCAAGCCCTACTGGCAGTTCAGCCTGCGGGATGTTCTAGTCGTTACGACATCGATTGCCTTGATCTTTGCGGTCAATCGCTGGGAACGGTACGCGCAGTTGATACTCTTGAAACAAGAGTCCTTGCGACAGGAACTCGAAGAGGAACTTCAGCAGCTTATTGGCATAGGAAAGGCAAGGATTTCCGTAGACCCGGGGAAGACCAAAATCATTGCCAGTCCCTCCTTGGGAGACGGCGAGCTGGAGGAAATTCTGAGATTCGCAGATCGATTGAGTTCAGCAGACGCTCCGATCACAGTTCTACATCTACGTGATTCCAGAGTAACTGACCGCGGAGTCGCCTCCCTTACAAGGCTACATACCCTCTACAGCTGTTTGCTTGACGGGACCAACATTACTGACGAAGCCGTGGATGATTTACAAAAAATCGAGAATCTGAGTATGGTTAGCGTGGGCCGAACTTCAGTGACCGACGACCGGCTAGAGCAGCTAAGCATCGACCGGCCAGATATGAGCATTATTTACTCAACAACCTATCTAAAAGTCAGTCCTTAACTTGGTTATGCCCAGGAGTAGGACAAGTTGACGCTCTTCGCGGAACTCTCACGTTTGCAACCACCCGAATTCACCGACGACCAACCCTTGATATCCCCCAGGCAAGCGCGGGTGATGGGGTTCTTCGTGTTCCTTGCGTTGGGAGCCGCCGTGTTTCTGGCCACCAATCTTCCCATCGCCGGGGCGGTGTTGCCGGCGATGTATGGATGCTGGAGGTCGCTTGGCACGGCCCTGTGGATTGTGCAGAGCGATCCCTATGTCGGTCGGGCTCGTATCTGTGCGGTGTTTTGTATCGCCGTTGGTTTTTGGTACGCGGCGATGGCGGCCTTTGGTTCAGTCATCCTTTTCAGTGTCTTGGAAGATCTCTTTGGTCGTCAGCCGAATGATGATGAGATCTGGGCAACCGCATTCGTGATTCTTGGCGGCTTTGCGCTCACAACACTCGTTGGACTCATCGTCTCCGTAGTCGCTGCATTCATGCGATTGCGTGTATGGGTTCACCCCAGATTGCGTGAATTGACGCATGGGGAACTCGGGCGAGCAGGAGAGTTGCCACCGAAGCGTTATCTCAACTATGCGTTCCCCGTGGTGTTCACTTCCCTGACAATTCCGCTGTTGTGTATCAGCTTTGTCTTCTTGTTCTTTACCGCCTGGGACCCAAACAATCCCCGCGCAAATGTCGCTGGATTATTGTTTGTTCTCGCCGGTGGATGGCTGGCACTTTTGTGCTACGAGTGGTTTTCGAAACGGATGATAGCCACCCATCCTGCTGAGTGTTGGCCGATAGCGCCCATTGAGCCGGTGGCGGGCGATCGCGATCTGTGACGGAGGAGATGGTGCGTCTGCGCTTCGCTGGACGGCACCCTACGGTTCCTTGGAAAGGTTTTGATTCGCTCGAATGTTTGCTTGCTCGCGTTCGTAATCCAAGCCCCGGCGTTGGCACCAGGTTTGGGGTGAGAGTACGCCGGCGGCGAGTTCGATGCGGTAGGCGTTTACTTCTTCGAGTTCGTTGCGGATCTTGAGCGAGGGCGCTTCGACTTGGATGTCGATGTCCTCGAGCGTCGTCTCGGGCAGCCGGCCGTGGCGTGCGGCGGTTTGGAGAACCCGGTTCATCACCGCGCGGTCGGCGGCGACTTGCTCGGCTTGCAGGCGTTGGAACATCCGCATGGCGGGCCCCTCGGCGACCATCGTCGAAGCGTAGTTTGCGTTCGAGGCGTCGGACGTGAACATGAATTCGGGCATCACCAGCCGAGATGCGACGGCCCGTAGTTCGGCCTGCAGGACTAACACGAAACTGCTGGCGTCGAGCCCGGCGGCGGGGAACTCGTACTCGGTGCCCAGCGGGGCATCCAAGATTGTGCCCGGGCCGTAGCGTTTGATGTGCGTCGTCTTGCCGCTGGTCGAGTTGGTGACCGAGGCGGTGGCCCCTTGCTCGACGAAGCCGCTGACGCTGCCGCGCGTTGCTCCGCGATGCTTGCGAATCAGGGCGATGGCCGATTGGATTTCGGTCACCATGCTCATGTTCCGCAGAATCTTCTCCGCCCGCCGCAGGTTTTTCAGCACCGGGTAGAACAGCGGTAGCCCCCGCTTCACGTTCAAATCGACGTTGGCCTTGCGATGTTGAATCGCCTCGGCCCCCACCGCGTGGCCATCGACGTAATACGCCTGCACGGTCTCCACATCGCGCGGATCGGTCTGAATCCCGAAGCTCGCACTCGGCTCACTCACCAGCGTTGGCGGGGTGGCGATTTGCTCGGGCTCGACGAACCGCAGTTGCGTGGTGCCGTCGACATCGCTGAAGAAACGCAGGAACACTTCACCATCGCGATCGAGCCGGCGAACGATCTCCTGCTGCCGCCGCTGCCAGTTGCTGGATTCGATGAACTCCTGCAATACGCCCTGCGCCTGGGCGAGCAATTCGGCGGAGACTTCGCGGCCTTTCCTCGCGACAGCCCGATAGCTGTGCCCGGGACCGACAATGTAACTGATGCGGTTTTCGTGCCCGTTGATGGCGAACTCGTTCGTCGCTGCCAGGTGCCGGCACTGCTGCAACACCGCACGAAGTTGCTGCTCACTCTCCAGCGGCGAATCGAATCCCGAGCTGCCGCCCGTGGTTCCCACCTTCAGCCACCGCGTGCCATCGCCATCGAACAGCGGTTCGGCCGGATCGACGAACGTATCCCATAGCGCGTCGTACGCCTCGCTCAACCGCCGATGCAACCTATCCAGCGGCCCCGTCTCAGTCCTAAGAATGTTATGCCCACCCATCACTATTCCCCCAGAAATATGCGTATCACCCGTAGACATGCACCCCCGTGCATGACAATCACCGCTTCCCCACACCCGATACGTCCGTTGTTCAGCATTACAGCTGGGTGGCCCAGCCGCGTCGGCTGGGTCGCGAAGCGACAAGATGCCCTGAGTAATGTCTCTCTACCGACAATGCTCGGGGCCTGTTCCCGTTCTCAGCAGCTTAATCGAAATCCAGATCACTCATAATTCCACCCGCACTCAAAGCATCTTGTTGCCTGCGGCAACCCAGCCGGTGCGGCTGGGCCACCCGTGAATTGTCGAAGAATGCAATACAAAGAACCCGTTTCCCGTGCGTTGCAGATTGTTTATGCGCCCACCGGCAGTCGATCGCCTAACCCGTCGCTGGTCTGATCTTGCCCCAGCAGTTCCGCCGCCAGGCGTATGGCCATCTCCAACGCGTCGGGCCCGTCGTCGTGATCGCCGATCGGAAAGTTCCGTAGCTGTTCCACCAGCAAGCGTGTCGAAGGCGACGCGGCTTTGAACCGCAAGCGCCGCGAAGACAAGTACGGCCCCAGCCGGCGAATGCGGAGCAGCTTGTTCACGCGGTTGTCGATCAACCAGGGATCGGGCGCCAACAGGCCTTGCCGCTGAAACTCCGTGGCGAACTCCCGCCCGAGCAACTCTTGGAATTGATTCGCCTCGACCGCAAACCCCTCGGGCTGAAACCGGCGATACCACGCCACGCCGTCGGCCACCATCGCGGGCGTGGGCCGGCGGGCCAGATCGGCTTCCACATACAGCACGCCCTGATCGTCCACGCCCAACATCACCAGGGCCGAGAAATCGCCCCGCGCGGCGTCGCTGCCTTTGACTCACCCCCCTTAAACGAGTCCAGGTCGTGATGAATAATCTCGACTTTTGGACGCAACTCTAAGGAGGTGTTTCATGCCACGGGGTAAGAAGTACGGGCCGGAAGAGATCATCCCGAAGCTTCGCGAAGCGGAAGTGTTGATGTCTCAGGGAATGACTCAGGAACTGGCTGCGAAGCAGATTGGTGTCTCGACGCAAACGCTGATTCGCTGGCGGAAGGAATACGGTAGCCTTCGCATGGATCAGGCGAAGCGATTGAAGGAGTTGGAAAAGGAAAACGCTCGACTCAAACGCCTGTTGGCTGACGCCGAGTTGGACAAGGCGATCCTCAAGGAGGCAGCCTCGGGAAACTTCTGAGCCCGGCGAAACGATGCGCGGGGGTGGAGCACGTTCGGGATTGCCTCGGACGCGATCGCGTGTCGGACCGTCGGGCCTGCAAGGTCTTGGGGCAGTCGCGGACAACACAGCGTCGGGTGCGTCATGTTCTCAGCGAAGGGCCGAGGCTGATCCACCGGATGGTGCAACTGGCAAGTGGCTACGGCCGCTATGGCTACCGCAAAGTCACTGCCCTGCTACGAGACGAGGGGTGGCGGGTGAATCACAAGCGGATCGAGCGGCTATGGCGACAGGAGGGGCTGAAGGTTCCCAAGAAACAACCCAAACGCAAACGATTGTGGCTCGTCGATGGTTCGTGCGTACGGCTCCGTCCGGCCTACAAAGACCACGTGTGGAGCTACGATTTCGTGGCTGATCGGACCAGCGACGGCCGTGCGTTTCGGATGCTGACGTTGATCGACGAGCACACGCGTGAGTGTCTGGCGATTGATACTGCAAGGAGGCTCAGGAGCGAGGACGTCTTAGAGCGGCTCAGCGACCTATTCGTCCGCCTCGGCGTACCCGCTTACATTCGCAGTGATAACGGTCCCGAGTTCACGGCCAAGAAGGTACGTGAGTGGCTCGCCAGGATTGGCGTGAAGACGTTGTTCATCAAACCAGGCAGCCCCTGGGAAAACGGTTAATGTGAGAGCTTCAATGGCAGGCTAAGTGATGAGGTATTGGCTCGTGAGCAGTTCGACACACTGCTGGAAGCTAAGGTGCTCATCGAGCGTTGGAGGCGGCATTACAACACGGTGAGACCGCATGGATCGTTGGGCTACCGACCCCCGGTACCCGACGCGATCCAGCCACTGCACTTCGTCCCGGCTGCGCCTCCACTACGTGAAGTGGCTGGCCTAACGGTACAACAAACCTTAACTTAATAACTGGCACTGTTCGTGGGGGCTGGTCATGCGGTAAGGTGTGTCGAGGCTGCATGACGTTAGACCTCCACCTCATCGCCGCGAAGTCGGGCGACGATCGAGATGATCAGCCGCACGATTGCCACGATGGTTGCGATGTCGATTGCCTGAGTGGCAACGCCCGACTGTTGAGCGGTGGCCTCGGCCACGCACGATTGCAGATCGAGTTGTTCGGATGATTGGGTGTTTTCTGTAGAATCACCGAAGAGACCGCCAATCAAGTTGATCAGCTCGACGATTTGATCGAGGTCGATCGATTCCAGCAGGCCACGGATCTTCTCCAGGTCGATTGCTTGAAACAGGTCGAGCAGCTTGCGGATCCCACCGATCAGTCGGCCGCGGTCGCGGACCAAATACGCCTCGTAAAGTTCGTTGTATAAACCCACCGTCATCGTGCACCTCGCAGGCTGAAGATTGCGGACCAGATCGAATGCTTGATGGGCACCAACGAAAAAAGCCCGCCAACGAGAAACTCTCGCTGACGGGCTCTTTGTGATACCTGGAAGAAACGCAGGCTCGCCGGAAACCCCTGGGAAGCACTTTCAAGAACTGCAACTCAGTTCTCAATCACCCTCACCAAGCACACGCAAGCCTACTGAAACCGCTGGCCTAATTTCAACTCGCTTTTTTTGAACTGTGGAGGCGTGAGATTCCGCCGTTGTGTCGTTGTGGTCCTTATCCATTCCAGCCCTGCCAGAAGGCCTTACCTCAACGCCCGCCAAAACACTTCAGCCGGGGCAGAAGGCATGTATCTCCACCGTGCCAAGAAAGAGAAGCAAGTGCGACCAAACTACTGTCGCGTACCCGGCCGGGTAGCAAAGCGGTTAGGCTGGCCGCCTTCGCGGATGTCGAACAAACCCCAGACAGGGAGATGGTCTGATACGTCGAGCGCTTGATCTTCGGTGAGGTTGTACTCTTCCTGAAAGTTGAACACCCCGCCGCGGCCGGTGAACTCGGTCGTGGCGTGGGCGAAGAACAGCAGGTTGTCGTAAGTCTTGGTGCCACGCGTGTTGGTGGGCACACCGGAGATGACCCAATAGATGTCGGCCATTTGGCCCAGTTCTCCGAAGCTGCGTTCGTCGGCATTCAGGTCGCCCAGCAGAATCACGTCGTCTTCACCGCGCCCGTCGGCCCGCACGGCTTGCAGCACGTTGTCCAACACATCAACTTCTAAATCGACTTCGTCGGGGTCGGTGTGGATGTTCACCAGCGTGAAAGTGAACGCTTCTTCCGGGGGTACACCCCGGGTGCGGAACGACGCAACCATCGGTTCGCGGTGCAGAAGGTCGTCAGGGTCTCCCACCGTGTAAATGGCCGAGCGGTCAATCTCGATCGTGGCCGTGTTGAATACGTACGCGTACTGTTCTTTGCTCGAGGTCCGCCCCAACCGTTCGCCAATGGCGAAGTCGAAACGTGAACCATCGGCGTTGATCAACTCCACAAACCGGGGCATCACATCTTGCTGCGAGGAGCGAATTTCTTGAATGGCCACCACGTCGAACTGCCGTACGATCTTGGCCAGAACTTCCATCACTTCTGGCTTGTTCAGTTTGCTCTGGCCGAAGACTTGGATATTGAACGAGGCGATCGAAATACTGTCGCCGACGGGTCCAGTCGGAGCCGAGGTGTCCGACGAACTGAGCCACGAGCCGCCTCCGCCTTGGCGAGGGTTGAGCTTGATTTGATCGAGGCCGTCGATCTCGAACTTCTGCAGGAAGAAGTACCCGAGAGCGGCCACAACGAGTGGGATCAGAATTTTTTTCACAGCAGCCCTCCCTGGCTGACAGCTCGGCGTCGCATCCAATGCGAGCGCAATTACTAGCTAGCGCGCAATAAGCGGGCCGCAAAGCATAGCGGGAGAGTGCTCATGGCTCTAGACCGCTTGCTGAGATGCTTCCCAGAGAGGCTACGCATGACTCGGGACAGCACCGCTAGCGGATCTAGCGGCGCGGAGAAGGGTGGCGAGCCTCTTGCAGAACTGGCTCGCCTAGTGAGAGTTGCCGCTCAGTGTGGTGAAGAAATTGGTCAGCACCGAAACATCGACCGGTTTCACGATGTGATCGTTGAAGCCCGCATCGAGTGCGTTCTTCCGATCGGTCTCTTGACCGTAGCCGGTCAGGGCGACCATCTGCACGCCTGCGAACGAATCGGACGCCCGAATCTGGCGGGCAAGTTCATAGCCATTCATCACCGGCATCGAAATATCAGAGAAGATCACCTCGGGCTTAAACTCGGTGGCCACTTCCAGAGCCTGTTCTCCATCGGCCGCTTCGGCCACTTCGTGACCCATTGTAGTTAGTAGCCGGACGATCATGAAGCGGATCGTGCGGGTATCTTCCACCACGAGCACCCGAAACGGTCGCGTCGGGCTCGAACGCTTCTCGGCAGTGGGTTCCTTCACCGTAGACTGTGGAAGATCGGTCAATAGAGGAAGCCGAATGTTGAACGTGCTGCCGCACCCCAGCCCCGCGCTATCGGCAGTCAACTGTCCTTCGTGAAGCTGAACGAGACTTTGTGCGAGCGAAAGCCCGATACCCAACCCCGATTGCCCCCGTTCGTTGGCCTCTTCGACTTGCTCGAACATCTCGAAAATGACTTTGAGCTTGTCTTCACTCAGCCCGATGCCATTGTCGTGTACCTGAAGCAGGGCCTTGTCGTTCTCTTGCCTGGCCGTGAGCACGATCTCACCACCTGAGGTCGTGTACTTCACGGCGTTGTTCAGTAGGTTTGCCAAGATTTGCACCAGCCGGGCCTTGTCGCCATTCACCCTTAGGGGGCTGTCTGGAATATCAACTTGCAAGGTGTGATGGGCGTTCTCGATCGCTGGCGAGACTGCTTCGACGGCACTCTTGACCACTTCGCGCAGGTCGCAGTGTTCGAGCCGTAGCCGAACCTTGCCACGGCTGATTCGCGAGACATCCATCAAGTCGTCGATCAGGCGAACCATCTGAATGACCTGTCGATCGATGACCTCGCTTAGTTCGCGCAGTTGGCTCGGGTCATCCACCCGTTGCATGAGTTGGGCGGCTGTCTTGATGGGCGACAGCGGGTTGCGCAATTCATGCGCCAAGGTGGCCAGAAACTGATCTTTGCGGCGGTCGGAGTCTGACAACTGTGCCGCGATGGTTTCAAGCTCGCGTTGCGACTCTCGCTCTTTGCTGATGTCGGTGTTCGTGCCGAACCAGCGAACGATGTGTCCCTCTGCATCGCGCACCGGAGTAACCCGGGTTAAGAATGGTCGATAGACTCCGTCGGCTCCCCGCAAGGGAAACGTCATTTCGAACGGCTCGCCGGTGTCCAACGAGTGTTTCCATTCTTCGACCACCTTGGGCAGTACCGCGGGGTCGTGAATGCTTTGCCAGCCCCAACCCTGCATTTCTTCCAGAGTGGTGGCGGTGTACTCGTACCAACGCTGATTGAACCAGTCGATATTTCCGTCAGGGGATGCCGTCCATGCCAACTGCGGAATCGAATCGGCCAGTTGATGGAACTGAAACTCATTGGCGCGCAAGGTGTCCACGGTGGTGGTCAGTTCGTCCTGTAGCTTCTGGCCTTTCAAGTCGGTGATCAAAACACCGACGGCCGCACCGGCATCAAAGGGCAGCACATTCAGAGATATCAACACGGGGTTCAGCGTACCATCGGCCAATTGCAGTTCGATTTCGACTGAACCGTTACCCTGCAAGCCCTGCAGGAAGACTTGCCTGAAGAGAGCCCGATCTTCCGACTTCACGAACTCGGCAAGACAACGGCCGACCAGCTTTTCTTGAGGTTCACCGAGAAGAGTCGCCAGACTTTGATTGCTGTAGGCAATCTTTCCTTCTGCGCACAGAGTCGCCGCACCCTGTTGCATCGTTTCTACCAAGAGACGGAACGGTTGGCCCGAACCGTCTTGAATCGCCTTGATCTTGTCGTTGGCCTCCTGCAGTTGTCGTTGCAGAAGCTCGATCTCGGAATTCAACGCTTTGTCTGACATGTTGAGAAACGAATTATCTTGAGACGCAAAACCTGACCACACGAGCAACCGCTCGCTGTAGGACAAGATACCCTCGGGTCGGTGGTAAGGACACGGAATGGTTCTTCGTTGGCTCCGGCCGACCTTCACTTGATGGTTCACCGAAGGTCGGTCCGCGAGTCGCGACTCACGCTGTTACCCGATCGCGGTTCCAAACTCAATGTGAAAGTTGTCAGTCGGCCCGATAACCAATGAGGTAGCTCACAACCTAATTGAAGGCGCCTCGTTCGTTAACCCGACGCTACGGGGGATGGAGTGGGTAAAACCCCCATCGCAAAACTTGCTAGCGAAGTGAAGCGCAAGCTGTCGCAAATACGCTACCTTCGGGCCTCGCGAACCAAATGGGGCAGTTCAGGCAAGATGATTTTTTCGACGGCCAATTTCACGGCCTTAGGAGAACCTGGCATGGTGAGCACCACCGTCGTGCCCAGCAGCCCGCCAATGGTGCGGCTGAGAATCGTGGCCGACCCGATTTCCTGATAGCTCAGCCAACGAAATAACTCGCCATAGCCCGGCAATTGCTTTGTCAGAATTCCAGCAACAGTTTCATAAGTTTGATCGCGCTGGCTGATGCCGGTGCCCCCGGTGAGCAGAATCGCATCGACTTCTTCCAAGTTGGCCAGGACGATAATCCGCGGTCGCATGGGAGCCGGCTCGTCGGGTAGAATCAGCCGCTCGACAATCTTATGTCCGCCGGCCTCCAAGCCATCGCACAATGCCTGCCCCCCGGTGTCGGTCTCCAGGGTCCGCGTGTCGCTCACGGTGATCACCGCGCACCCCAACTGCGTGGGTGAATCGGCCTTATGTTGTTCGACGCTATTGCTCATTGGCTCGTTGTTCCCCGAATAATCGATTTTCTGCTCATTGGTTGCAGCCGGTCGTGCCCACAGAAGACCGTGATCTGCCCGCAAAAGTGGCCCCTTCCGCGAGTCCTCCGTATACTAGACAAGTCGGCACCGTTTTGCGATTGCCGAAAGCGAAGAGCTCAAGTCGCATCTGTATAAGACATCTGTAGGGAACGCCCTCCGTGGCGTTCCGAGAATTGCTGTTACGCACGGAAGGCCACAGAGGGCGTTCCCTACAGAAGATCGTTGTTATACACCGCTGGGACTTGCTGCGGGCTACGTGGGGAACACGGTCGCGGAATTCATCCGCATAAGAAGAGGTGGGGAGGCAACATGACACGGCATCGGCTGCCTAATTGCCTGTGGAAGCGAACACTGCCGCTGGTGGTGATTCTTGGTTGCATTGTCGTTGCGTCTCAAGCAACCGCCGAAATCTTCGTCCTTCGCGGCGGTGGGCAAGTTTCTGGTCAGGTCGTGGAGAATGCCAACGCCGAGCCTACTCAGTTGGTCATTCAAACCTCCTTGGGTCGAGTCACGCTGACCAAAGACCAGGTGACCGAGGTCGTCCATCAGCTTCCCACCGAGATTGAATACGAGAAGATCAAGGGCGATTACCCCGACACGCTGGAAGGCCATTGGGAGTTGGCCGAATGGTGTCGCGAGAACTTTCTCAGCGAGCAGCGCGAAGAGCATCTTCGCCGCATGTTGGAGTTCGACCCCGATCACGCCAAAGCCCGTGCGATTCTTGGCTACCAGCGCGACGGCGATCGTTGGATCACCCGTGAAGAGCTGATGGAAAGCCGGGGCATGGTTCGCCTGGGCAGTCGTTGGGTCTTGCCGCAAGAGAAGCAGCTTCACGAAGAACGCCGCAAACGCGAGCTGGCCGAGAAAGAGTGGATGCGAAAACTCAAGCGTTGGCTGTCCTGGCTCGACAGCGAGAAGGCCGGCGAGGCCGTTGAGAACATCCGCACGATCAACGATCCCTACGCTTGTCGTGCATTAGACGAACGGATTGCCGAAGAACCCAACCCGCGCATTCGAGCCTTGTACCTGCAGGCCCTTTCCAACATCGCCACCCCGCGAGCTAACGCCATCCTGGTCGATCGTTCGTTGAAAGACCCTGACGAGGAACTGCGGATCACTTCGCTGGAGTACCTGTCGAAAGACAAGCAGCCCGAGATCGTCACCCAATACATTCAGGCACTGCAGAGCAAAGAAAATGCTGTGGTAAATCGGGCCGCGGTCGGCTTGGAAAGCATGGGCCACGTGGCTGCGGTGCCAGCCTTGATTGATGCGTTGATCACCACGCACAAATACAAGTTCGACGAAGGGCAGTCGCCCGACGAAATCACCTCTACCTTCGACCCCACCGGCCAGAACCCAGGCGGCCTGGGCGGCGGGGGCTTCACCTTTGGCGGCGGTGGCGTGAAGGTCGTCACGCGACACGAGCGCAATCCCCAAGTCCTCTCGGCATTGGTCGGCCTCACCAACGAGAACTTCGAGTATGACCAGCGGCAGTGGAAGCACTGGCTCGCATCGCAAAAGCAAACCCCCAGCATCAACGCCCGTCGCGACTAACGCGTTGCAAAGCCGCCGGGCTACTCAAACCATTAATAGAGCACCTCATGTCGAAACCCACCGTGGCCATCTTGGGCAGCAGCGCCGATCGTTCGAAGTTCGGCAACAAGTCACTCCGTGCTCATCAACAGGCCGGCTGGGAGGTGTTTCCCGTAAACCCACGTGGCGGCGAGATCGAAGGGCTCACGGCCTATGAGTCGATCGAAGATGTGCCGGTCGACAATCTCAATCGCGTAAGCATGTACCTCCCACCCGCGGTCGGTATCAAGCTACTCGACAAGATCGCGGCGAAGGGCTGCGAAGAACTGTGGCTCAACCCGGGCAGCGAAAGCCCCGAGCTGTTCAACCGCGCCGTCGAACTCAACCTCAACCCCATCGCCGCCTGCAGCATCGTCGACCTAGGCCTCCGCCCCAGCGACTTCCCCGACGCGTAAGCGTGTCACACAGATTCGTTGCCTCAGCAGGTAGGGTGCCGTCAAGCGCAGCGCAGACGCACCATCGTTTTCTTGCGAGGCGAAACTGCGAACTGATACATGGTGCGTCTTCGCTGCGGTCGACAGCACCCTACCTGGGACTTCGAGGTCATTCTGTAGAGGGGCTATCCTTCGTCTTTTAGCTCATATTCCATCGCCGTTTCTCGCAGATCTTCGAACTTCAATTCTCCCTTGCTCGCGCAGCCCCAATTTCTTTCGTAGGAACCCGCGTCGACCCATTGGGCAAATGTGCTGTACGGCCAATCTTTGGGGCATTGGGTCTCGCCGTGCTTCACGGTGTTGTAGTGGATGTAGTCTGCGTGCCGTTGAAGGTCGTCATCATCTTCGATCGTGTGCTCCCAAAACCGCCGTTGCCAGATACCCCGCTCCTTACGCGATCGACGGGAGTCCGATGGACTGATTTCGGTACCACCTTCACTTAGCCACTCACGGGTGAATTCTTCTTTGATGCGTCGCCATCGCGTTGAGTAATCATGATCCCCGGGTGGCAAGGTTCAAATGGCGTGCAAGTGTTCGGGCAGTACGATGCTGGCCAACGTCTCGAACGGATAAGTGAGCCTGACCTTCTCTATTGCCGCGCTAAGACACTCTCGCCCACGGTCACCCGTCAAGATTCGCCGTCGCCGGTAAGTCACAACCGTAAAGAAGAACGTCCCTCCAGCGATGCGTGCACGACGGTAGTTCGGCATGAAGTTACAAGGATGGGTTGAACATGAGAAAGCGAATCGCTATGTGATTCATCATGATAACACTACACACTTCAATGCAGCACCATTGAAGCAGGCAGATGGCGCACAGGTAGGGTGCCGTCAAGCGAAGCGCAGACGCACCTTTGATCACCTCGCAAGAAAACGATGGTGCGTCTTCGCTGCGCTCGACGGCACCCTACCTGTGATTCACGCTTAAGGGGTGGCCGAAAACTGAACTGGATAATCGCATTTGGGCTCGATAAAGTGTGGCCATGATGACGGTGCGGGAAACAACGGCGAACCAAAAGAAGCTCGAACGGCTGAACTCGCTGTTGGGCGAAATGCTGGCCGAGGGATTACAGCGGAACTTCTACGGCACGCTTAGCGTAGAAGTCGCCATTCAAGACGGAACGATTCAACACCTGCGACGTCGCGTGGAACAATTGGAGAAATAGATTAATGTTTGGCTGCATTAGTTTTGCAGCCCGCACATAGAACAACAGCACACGGCGGTATCTGACGAGCCCTCATACGGGTATCCACCAGAGCCCTGACGCCGACTTTCGGTTGGCGCCAGGGCTTTTTTTATTGCCATGCAGAAAGGACCACACGTGATCCAGTCGCTTCAAGAAGTGTGTCGCCTGAACAGCGCACCGTTGCACGTCCACCGCGAGTCGGACGTGATCCGTGGGGTGAAGATCCTGGGAACCGAATCGCGGAACGCCCGAACCTATCGCCCCGCGGCGCTGGCCCGGGCGGTGACATTGTACGAAGGGGCGAAGGTGAATGTGAATCACCCGAAGGCCGGAGCCCATGCCCCACGCGATTATCAAGACCGCATTGGCGTGGTCCGCAACGTCACGTTTCGCGACGGCGGACTGTTCGCCGACTTGCAATACAACCCCAAACATCAACTGGCCGAACAGTTGGCCTGGGATGCCGAGCACGCTCCAGAAAATGTCGGGCTGTCGCACAATGTCGAAGCCCGCGTGTCCCGACAAGACGATCGCCTGGTGGTCGAAGAAATCCTGCGGGTGCGAAGTATTGACCTGGTGGCCGACCCCGCCACAACGCGGAGCTTGTTCGAGTCGTCGCCCCAGACTAACGACCTCACTAATGCTTCGTCGTTCGACGAGTTGCAAAACTCGCAGCCCGAGTTGGTGCAAACGGTGTTGGAAAGTCTCACGCCGGAAGCATTGCGAACGAGGCGGCCCGACCTGGTTGAGACTCTTTCTTCTCAACAAACGGCCGAACTGGCCCACCTTCGCGAGGCCCTCGAAACGCAACGCATACGTGAGACGCGGAAGTCCCAAGCCCGAGCGTTGTTGCGGGAATACGCACTGCCCGACCCGGAGCTTGAAGCCGAACGTGCGCGAACGTTGCTCGGCGAGGAGTTCCTCGAGCGGCTGTGTGGTGCCGAAGACGAAGCAGCGATGCGGCAGCTTGTTCGCGAGCGGGCGGAGTTGATCAAGGACGTTCGTTCGCTGGCTGAAACAGAGCCACCCTGGCCGCAACGGCCCGTAAGCCGCGATCCGCGACAAATGCTCACCGATTGGGACGCGGGCGAATCAACCGAGCGGTTCGTTCGCGCCATCACCGGATGACCCGCGGTCGAAGCCGTTCGTGTGGAAGCGTTCCTACCGTGAATCTTTGGCGGCCGTGGTCGCCTTTGAACCAACCGACAACAGGAGAGTAACCAATGGTGGATAGCATGCGTTGGCGTTATGGAGACACGCACCCGGTGGTGATGGCCGTCGATTCGGCGACCGTGATTGAGATTGGCGACCTGGTGTATCTGAACACCGACGACGCCTTGCCTGCTTCAACAGTCGATGACATCGGCGGCGCGGGGCCGGCGAACCTGGCCACCGCCCAAGAAGCCCTGCACGACGCGTTCCTCGGCGTGGCGATGCAACGCTCTCGGGCCGGCGACACCACCCCGATTCGGATTGCCACCCGCGGTGTGTTCGAACTCGACGCCGCCAGTGCGACTTTCGAAGTGGGCGACTTGGTGGGGGCCGACGACAACGCCGGTGGAACGGCCCTGGAAAACCAGCAGGTGATCGCGGTGGCCAGCGAGAACCTGGCCATCGGGCGGGTCTCACGTCGCGTGCCTGCGGCCGACACGCGGGTGTTCGTCGAGATCGTCGGCACCATCAACCACGGCGGCCCCCAAGCCGCAGCTTAATCACTCACCGCGAATCCCACATGGGTGCCACCGGTTCTTGAACCGGTGCGGCGTAGCCGTGAGAGGTCCTTACTTTCCAATTCGAACTCAACCGAGAGGCCCAGAACAACGCAAGGCCTCCCGTCGCCTGCGGCGACCCAGGTTCAAGAACCTGGGCCACCCGACCGTGTGCACAGCACTAACTGACACAAAACACACCACTGCCTGGAGAACCAATCGTGAGCATCAAATACCGTGAACTGAAGCGACGTTTCGAATTGGACGGACCGCAGCGGACCGTGCGGCACTTGTCCGAAGCGCTGCGGGAGAAGCACCTGAAGGCGGAAGACTTCAGCCTTCGCGATCTGGCCGAAACGCTGGTGCCCGACGGTAGCGAATGGGTGCGTTCGCTCGATCCCCGCAGTGCGTGTGGAGTGACATTGCTTGAAGCAGGCGACGGCGTCGACGTCACGGCGTTCCTGAACATCACCGGGCAGGTGATCTACTCAAAGATCATGGACGCCTATCAGAACGAGGCCTTCGTCGCCTCGCAGTTGGTGCAGACGGTGCCCACGCGGTTGGACGGCGAAAAGATTCCCGGCATCGGTCGCACGGTCGATTCCGGCGATGAAGTTCATCCCGGCATGCCGTACCCCAGTCTGGGCTTCGGTGAAGACTACATCGAAACGCCGGCCACCACCAAGCACGGGTTCATCGTGCCGGTCACCCGCGAGGCCATCTTCTTCGATCGCACGAACCTGGTACTGAGTCGCGCCGCCGAAGTGGGCGAAGTGCTCGGCTTGAACAAGGAGAAACGGCTGCTCGATCTGATTGTGGGTGCCACGAACAACTACAAGTGGCGAGGTACTTCGTACGACACCTATCAAGCTTCGGCCCCGTGGATCAACACGCTGTCGAGCAACGAACTCGTCGACTGGACCGACGTCGACGCGGCCGAGCAACTCTTCGCCGACATCCTCGACCCCAACACGGGCGAACCGGTGCTGGTGCAGGCCAACACGGTGCTGGTCATGCCGGCCTATCGCCACGCGGCCCATCGTGTGTTTAACGCGGCGGAGATTACCTATCAGGCTTCGTCTTCGGAAACGATGACCACGGCGGCCAACCCGTTGGGGAATTATCGCGTGTTCGAAAGCCGCCTGGCCTACCGGCGGGTTGTGGCCGCAGGCACGGCGGCCGAAGAGGCGAAGAAGTGGTGGTTCATTGGCGACTTCCACAAGGCGTTCGCCTACATGGAGAACTGGCCGATCACCGTCACGCAATCGCCGATGGGCAGCGAGGCCGACTTCAACAACGACATCGTCGTGCGGTTCAAAGCCAGCGAACGCGGAGCTGCCGCCGTGATCGATCCACGGTTTGTGGTCAAGTCGACCGGTTAGAAGCAAATGTAGTCTGGCTCGCACGAGAGTGCCACAGCCGGTTCGTCCAGCAGTGGCACCCACGTGAGGCTAGGAGACCGCTTCTAGATAACGGTTAACTTCCACGAATTCTCAAACTCTCAACTTTTTAAACGGAGGCATGCGATGACGCGGCTTGGGGACGATGTGACGGGCTCGTTCGTCACGGGCCAACGAACGGTGGGGACCAGTGCCGTGGGGCTGGTGGCGAGTTCAACCCGCGCAACGCGTGGTGTGCAGTTGAAGGCCGCCGCCACGAACACCGGCACTGTGTACGTGGGGCACAGCTCGAGCGTGAGCAGCAGCAACGGCGTCTCGCTGGCCGCCGGCGAGGGCCTGCTGTTGAAGGTGGACGATGCGGCCAAGGTGTTCTTGGTCGCCACCGAGTCCGATCAACCCGTCGAATACCTGGTGGTGTGAAATGCGCGAAACTCCTTTCTTCCAATCCACCTGGGCGCCGGCAGCCTGGGCTCCGGGTTGGTGCTCGTCGGGGGCAGACCCTCAAGTGTGGTCGCCACGCGAGCTTGCCAACCTGGAGTTCTGGTTGCCCACGCATCAGCGGCGGGCCATGTGGCGGGCGGTGACAGTCGCCACGCAAGACACGACTGTCTCGGCCGATGGGCAGTTGGTTTCCCAAGTGGATGAGCAAGGTGCCTGCGCGCATCGTCTTTCATCGCCCACAGGTCGACAGCCAACGGCAGGCTCCGACGAAGGCGGCCGTGCGTACCTGAAGTTCTCGCCCAACGAATACCTGCGAGTGCACAACAGCCTGGGTGCTTTCAATTGGATGCACAACGGTAGCCCGTTCTGCATGCTCGTGTGGCTGCGGGTTGCACCCGGGGCCTCGACCGGGGCGGTGTTCGATAGTTGTCGGGCAACTACCACAGGCACCACCGGCGTTTCGCTGCAATACAACAGCTCGGGCACGTTGCTGTTCATGGTCGCCCGACAGGCGGCCGGTAGCGCGATCCAGCACACGACCACGGCCACCATCGATTCCGACGATGGCTGGGTGCTGGTGATGCTGGCCTACGACGGCGGCCCACTGGCGATCATCCGCATCTATTCCGACGGCGGCGAGAACCCACTGGCCACCGAATTGATGACCGTCTCCGGAGGGTTCGACACCGGCGATGCGTCGAACGACTTGCACATCGGCACGCGAGCGACCGTGCTCTCCACCGGCTTCGATGGTGACATTGGCGATGTGATCTTCCTCTCACAGGCAATCAGCGAGCCGGAGCTTGAAGAACTGCGGCTTTGGAAGCCCTCGCCAACCACGGCAGCGGTGGGTTACACGTTGGGCAACTATGCCACGTTGGGTCCGGCCGCCGTGTCGGGGCTGGCGGAATGGCACGACTTCGGCAACCGAGCCACGCAATGGCAAGACAGCGTGGGCGGCACCGCCGTTGCCAGCGAAGACGACCCCGTGGGGGTGATCGAAAACGGCCTATCGACCATCGCGGGCGTCGACCTGAAGCGAAACTTCGCCTACGACGGAACGGCCAGCAAGCGACCTCTTTCGAAAGACGCTGCGACCAACGGAAGCGATCGAGCAGCGGCACTGTTCGACGGCGGATCTGGATCACCCGACGATGAACTCGTTGGGCCAAACCAACCGACCGGGGGCGCGAGCACCTGGATCTATGTGGCCCGCAATCTCGACAGCATCAAAGGCAGCCATTACTCGCGGGCGACCGGCAACCAATACCTGGTGAAGACCGGCAGCGAGTACCTGGCCGGCAGCGGAAACGACATGCGGATTGTCGCCCACACCTCCAGCTCGGCCCCGCCCAACGACGAAGACCCGTTGTTCGGGATGCAAAGCGGCAGTGGCGAGCCGATGCCGGGCGGGGGCGAAGTGTGGGAGATCATCACGCTACGTCGCGATGGGAAAACATGGAGTCTGCGGTGGAACGGGATTCAAGGCGAGAGCACGTTTCTCAACGACGGCGTGTTCGACTCATCGCGGATCGGGCCCAGTGTGAATAGCGACTTTGAATTCGACGGCTACCTGGGCTGCCGTTTGCGATACACACGAGCCCTCTCCGATGCGGAAGTGGCGCTCGTCGAAGCCGGACTGGCCGCCGAGTGGGGCATCACGCTCGGCAGTTCTTAACCGTCGGTGCCTGCTAACCAGAACAACACAACTGTAACGAGAGTTCCTGACGATGCCGGACGACAAACAGCAGATTGCAACCATCAAAAGCCAAACGCTGGCCACGATGGCGGCCATCACCGAGAGCCCAAAGCCTTCGTACTACATCGACGGGCAACAGGTGGCCTGGGGCGAATACCTGCGTCAGCTACAAGCCACGGTCGAGTGGTGCAACACCCAACTCACCGGCGAAGAGCCCTTCGAGATCGAAAGCCGAGGCACGACGTAATGCCGGTTCCCTGGGATATCTCCGACGACTTCGAAACCGTGGTCGATGCCGCCGTGCCGGTGACCGTGTGGAACGACACGCTGAGTACCAGCTACACCGTCGAGGCAGCGCTGCGACGGGCCGTCGATCTGGCTGAGCGGGAAGTGAGCGAGGGAAAGTATCGGGCGACCGACACCGTGTGGCACTTCCCTACCGCGGGAGCACTGGCCGGTGTGGATGTGAAGCCGGGCTGGTTTGTGATTCAGGGGACCTCGGTGTGGAGAGTGCTTCGCGCCAGCAACCAAAGCCTGGCGAACCGCTGGCGGGCCGAATGCCGAACGCTGGAGATCGACGCGAACGAAACCGTGACAATTGAAGTTGCCACGCATTCCCAAACCACCAGCGGAGCCCCGCAGACCACGTGGAGCACGTTCGCCACCGGTGTGGTCGGTCGATTGCAGCGAAACGAAAACACGCCCGGCGTCGAGAAGCAGCGCCGCAGCGACCGCGAACAAGCCCGACTGTACACGCTCGCACAGTATCTACTCGACACGAACTACCGCGTGTTCGACGGCACGCACTATTGGAACGTGACCGGTTACGAACAGCCCGACGACATCGCCGCGTTGCCGGTCCTCACATTGGAACGAACCCCATGGCCGCTGGGTTAGGAATAGTTTTCTCAAATGACCACCGAACAAGCCATCCGCAACCACTGGATTACCTACCGCCCGTTGACCGACATCGTGCCGGCATCGCGGGTGTGGGTCGACGAGCATGACGGTTCGGAGGGACTGCCGTATGTGGTGGTGACGCTGGAGAGCGAGACGCCCGACCGATTTTCCAGCGGCGATCGTTCGTACTCCGCGGTGGTGCGGCTGGCGGTCTACGACCACGACTTCGAACGTGGCGAAGCCCTGTTGGAGCGGGTGCGGCAACGGTTCGATCGGGCGGAGATGCCCGCGGGCAATCGCACGATTTTGCAGGCGCGGTTCACAAACAAAGCCCGCCGCCGCGACGAGGACGGCGTGTGGCGGTGGCTGCTCGATTACACGTTACTCATCAACGAGGTGACCACCAATGGCTGACACGTTGTCGCTGGACATACAGGCCCGACTGGCGTGGGTATTTCTCGACGGACTAGATCTGTCGACCGTGCAAGACGACTCGGCGCTCGAGTTCAAGCAAAGCATCACCGACGGCACGGGAGCGAACGAGGCCGACAAGATCTGGCACGACCGGCGGACGCTCTCGGCTGCGGCCTCCGAAACGCTCGATCTCAGCGGGCTGACTCACACGCTGTTCGGCTCCACCGTCACCATCGACCTGGCGAAGGTGAAGTGCTTGTTCATCAAGAATCTCGCCACAAGCACGGGCGAAGAACTTCTGGTTGGTGGCGCGGCCTCCGATGCGTTTGAAGTTCCCTTCGGCAACGTGGCCGGCGGCGTGGTCGAAGTGGGGCCGAACAGCCCCTTGCTGTTGGCGAACTTGCTCGACGGATGGACCGTGGGCAGCGACGTGAACCTGAAGATCGCCAACACCGGCAGCGGCGACATCACCTACGACATCGTAATCGTGGGCACCAGCTCTTAACGAAAGGAAACCAAAGCGATGGCATCCTACAGCGGCAAAAGCGGCAAGGTTGAAATCGGTGCCACCCAGGTGGCGCACATCACCGGGTGGACGCTCACCGAGACAAGCAACAACCCGGCGTATGCTTCGAGCGAAACCGGCGGGGCCAAAACTCGCGTGATGGGCGTGAAAGACGCCGCCGGATCGATGCAGGGCAAGCTGGACGACACGACGAGCCAGGACGCGTCGATCAAGGCCGGCTCCAGCGGCACGGCCAAGCTCTACACCGACGGCTCGAAGTATATCGAGGTCGACATCATCATCGACCGTTTCGAAGTCGAGGTCGATCCCGACGAAGGCGAAATCGTTTCCTTCTCGGCCGAGTTCAGCGCCACGGCCGCCGTGGATTATTCGAACCTGTAGAGCCAGTTTCAGAACCGTTTTCGAGCCCGAGGTCTTCGGTGATCGTGTCGAGGCGCGGAGGGCGAAGCAGGCGAATCCGCGAGATTCGTCGATGCAGCCTGACAAAGCATTCGGTGCGATCGCCGGAGATCGAAGCCGAAATGAGGTTTTGAAACTTGCTCTAGTGCGAAGGAGCCCAAGCGTTGAAAGGGATCAATCGAGTCACCGCCGCCGCCACTCCGTGGCAGGTGGGTGGAAAGACCTATTACATTGCCGCCACGGTCAACTCCCCTGCCGCCTGGGCCGAGGTGTGTGAACACATCAAGGCACGTCGCGAAAGTCCTTTGAGTCGGCTGGCTGGGCATCTCGACAAGTTCAACGAGCGGCAGCAGGAAGTGTTGCTGCGAGCGGCGGTTGAGCAGGAGACCCGAGTTGCCGAGGACCCCAGCGGCGAGGAGATCGACCGGTTTCTCAACACACTGGAAGGCGCGGCCTACCTGTTGTGGATCGGTCTGCGTGACCGGCATCCGGAGTTTGAAACGCCGGCGGAGGTGATGGAGTTGATTCGCGATCGTTCGGTCGAGGCCCAACAGAAGCTGGACGAGGCGGGAGGATTCACCGCGCTAAAAAAACCCTCGGGCCAAGAGGATTCGCACAACCCGGCGACGGCAGTAAACGGAACCCTTGGCCAGGCATCTATCGCAAGCTGAGTGCGGCTTATCACTGGACGCCCGAGCAAATCAACCAAATGACGATGTGGCAAATCAACATGTACCTCGGCCTGCGAATGCCCGGCGAAACCATCCGCTTCCAATCGCTGGCCGAAGCCCGGGCGTATCGCGCAGCGAGACAACGGGAGACTGAATGATGCCGAGCAATCCGCGATCCCAGCGATTCACGAACATGATTGAAGAGCTACGTTCGCTCATCGGCGGGCTGCCGCAGTTGGTGGCAAACGCCAAAGCCAACTTCACGGTCGCCTCCAGCGACTCAACTCCCGAGCAGGAGCAACTTGAACCATCGCAGGCGGCAAACGAATTAACCCCTTTCCTCCATGAATTGCTTATTCAAGAGAACCGTCCGGCGAATCAATCACCGCTTCAGTTTGATGTACCAGGATTGCCACTGCAGCCCGCCTTTTCGCAAGCAGATAGCGTAGATCAACTTGTGGCAGTTTCAGAACCACCAAGCAACGGGCAAGCGTCAACGATCATCAACAAATCACTCGCAGCAAGACTCCTGGGCATTCCCTTCGATCGCCAGCTTGCTGAACGCTCGCAATCCACTGCAACCCCAACATCTGCAGGTACTGTTGAACTGCACCATCGAGAACACGCCACAGACAACCTTGGCAGCAGCAACCAAAACCGTGGTATCGATTCATCCTCAATAGTCGGCGAACCCGGTCGCTTCAACATTGAACAGCTAGCCAGCGGACTCGAACAGAAAGCCTTCGACAAGCAGGCCCGCGATGCGAAACGGGCGGCCGACGCGGCGGAGGAGAATACACGACAACTCGAACAGGTGAACCGGTTACTGGAGCAGTTGCCAGGCACTAGTTTCCAGTGACGTCCACTTCGAACAGCGGACGCAGCACCGGGTACGTGCGTTCGGTGCCGTCTGGGGAGGTCAGCATTTTGTTCTCGCCCGCGTGCATGACGAAGGGAAGTTCGATCCGGTCACCATCGGCGTACTTATCGGTGCTGATGTCCTGCACCCACAGCTCGCGGGTTGAAGACTTGGTGCGGTACCTCAAATCGGCTGTGGTGACGACATAACTGGTTTCGAGACGAACGATCATGGCCTTCGGATCAATCACTTGTGCAACTTTGAGGGTGCCCACCTTGGGCATAAGTCCAATGTCACCAATCTTGCAATCGCGCCGCAACGCCGGCAGCGGAAGTTCCAACGGATCTTTCTCGCGTTTCAGTCGGTTAATTTCCTGGCGGATCTCCTGCAACTCCGCGATGCGTTTCTGCTTGGTCGTCGTATCGTCGTCGCGATTCTTCCGGGCTTCTTTGCTCAACTCGTCGAGCTGGTATTGCAACTGCTTGAGACGTTGTTCGCGATATTCCTCCTGGGCTTCCACCAGCAACTCAGCCAACTCGCCTGGGGCCTTGGGATGCACAACCCCCAGCTTCTCGATTTTGGCCACGTACTCCGCCACGGCAGCATCGTGAGCATTGCCTGCCATGCAAACGCAAAGCACAACGATCGCGTAACTCATGGGAACACTCCCTGATGCCTATCACATTTGAAGAACTCGAAGGCTCGCCCAGCGGCAGCTTCAGCGACGGTCGCTTCACCGGGAAGCGAATCTTCGCCGTCGATTGGGCCGACTGGACGCAATTCGCCGCCGAACTCTACGGGTCGTACAGGCTAACTGGCGGTACGGTCAGCTTCAACAATCCGGCCACATTCCCCGGCGTGCCCCAGGCGGTGTGTACCGACATTCACTTCGCCCCTTTGCCTGGCGACAACCCCGAGAAAGCCGGCTCGATAACGCTCACCAACGGCAACGCGGTCACCTACGACAAAGCCAAGATCACGGCAACCTACAAAATCCCTTTCTCCACTGCAGGTACTCGGGGGCGGGGCGATCTGCCGGGCGTGCCGACCGGGACGTACCTCGACTTCAACAGCGACCATGGGGCCGAGTGGATGCACGTGCCGGGCCGGGTGTGGAAATGGTCGAGCGATAGCGAACCGCTGGGCGAAGACCACAACCCCGGGCTGCTGATGCCGACCGAAGACGTCACGCTCACCTGGTCGCGGGTCACCTCGCCACCGTGGAATGCAATTCGCGACACCAAGGGCAAAGTGAATTCTTCGCCGCTGATGAACTACGAAGCAAACAAGGTGCTGTTCGTGGGGGCTCGGGCGCGAAAGTCGTTCCAACTCACCGAGCAGACGTTCTGGACGCTCGACTATTCGTTCCGCGTTCGGGCAGAACCTTGGAACTACCACTATCGCGAAGACCCCGAAGGCTGGGCCGCGATTGAAGACAACGGCGGTGCGGGTCCCTATGCGGCGACGTCGTTCGAGGGACTTTTCCAGTACGGGTAGACCATGGTTGAACCACTGAACGAAGTACAGCCGGGCGAGCCGATCACGGCCCGGTGGGCGAACAGCCTGCTGCGGTGGCTGCGTCGCGCTGTGAAGATCTCCGTTGCGTTTCCGCTGGAAATGCAGCAAGGCGAACATGGCACGCACCTTCGCCTGGCCTACGTGCAGGAAGACAAGCTGATCGAACTGACCGAAGACCTTTCGGCCGGCGGCAGTGCGATGGCCAAACGGCTCATTTTCAGCGACGGCGATTGGATTGACATGAATACCGCGGCGATCGAAGTGTTTGACTCGATCGGCGGCAGCCGCGACGGGACCGCGGGCGACCGGGGCTGGGCCTTCTACAGCCGGGAAAGCGGACGTTGGGAACTGAAAGTTTTGGGGTGTTGAGATGGTCGCCGTCGACGCGTGTTGCTGCCCAGACGCAACCGGCAGCGGAAGTTCTTCCCCTGGCTCCGGCTCGTCAGGCCCTCAGCTTGTCGAGTGCGGCACCACATGCGCGGGCTCTGGATTCAACGCGCCGTACTGGTGGGATATCACCATTAGCGGCATCGTCGACGAAGAGTGCGACGATTGCGAGACCTACAACAGCACGTTCCGCGTGGAGCACAACCCTGGCTTTTCGGTGAACCGCTGTGTGTGGACGCTTTCGATTCCTGAAAGCTGTGCGATCTGCAGGCCGGTGTTTCCAGAAACAGAACCGAAAGGGGCGAACTTCGTGTTCCTCGAACTCTTCGGCTCGGCGAGCCCTACGGTTTGGGTGCACATCTGTCATTTGAACGAAGGGGCCACCGGCGACGACTTGTTGTGCAACCCGTCGTATTGGGAAATCAACTTCCGGGAAGTCTTCGCCGAAAAACCTGACTGCCTGGCGATGAATGGCTACTTAATTGACGACAGTGCCCCAAGCCAAACCCGTTGCCCCAACTTCTACACCCCGCCCTTCGGCCTGGTCGATGCGTGCGATGCCAACTCCGGCGGGGGAGTGGCTGAATGTCGCATTACGGCGGTTACCCAACCATGATGTGCGACACCGTGCTGCAAGCCGGCGGAAAACGGTGCGTGCGCTGCGGGGCTTTCTTCAACACCACCGGCCGTGTGTTCGCCCAATGTCAGCAGCTCGACCTAACAGCCGAACCAATCCGTCGCGCTAAATGCGGTGGCTGTTTGCAGCGGCAAGAGACGCTAAACAACATCGTACCCGGCGCAGGCGATCTGATCGCCAAACTGGCTGACCCGGTGGCTGACGTCTTGGGGTGGAAAGAGAAGAGCCTGCTGCTCACGTTCACCCACGGGCTGGGCGATGCGGTGCAGTTCACCGTGGTGCTGAAACACCTGGCCGCAACGTTTCCCGATTGGAAGATCGATGTGTGCTGCCCTGCCGAACGACACGACATGATGCGTGGTGCGGGGGCTCGCTACTGCTTCGAACCTGATAACGTCCGCGGCGAGCATGTGTACCGGCGAACAATCTCCGTTGGTGAACCAGCAACGTGCGTTCCTGATGCTCCGGCCACCAAGGCGGAGACGGTTTTGCAAAACTACTTCGGCATTCAGCCGCAGCTCGATCTGTGTAAATACCGAGTCAATTTCGATAAGCATCATGTCGAGACTGCCCGAGGCTTTACGCGCACGTTGCCCAGCAACAAGGGCTTTGTACTCCTGCACTACCGCGGCATCTCTTTGCGACGGGCGAAGAACTTGGATGAAGCCATTATTCGTGACTGTTGTCGGCGGATCTTGGCAGCGGGCTACACGCCGGTGATCTTCGATTACGAACATCGCTCACGTTTGATCGATGGCAAGACAATCTTTCGCGCGAACGTGCCCGCGCATCCCAGCGTGACGGCCGCCCTAGCGAATGAAGCAACACTGTGCATCGGCATCGACAGTGGGCCCGGGCATGTGTTTGGTAGCGAAACACTTTCAACGCCCACGCTCATCGTGTGGCGAAAGAACCATCCGTATCACTACTACGAACTCGCCGACCACGTGACCCACGTATTGCCTAAAGATCATCGGCAATACCTACGCAGTTCAAACTGCGAACGCACCGCGTTGGCGTTCTTCCAATCGCACTACCAATTCGTGGAATGCCAACGCCATCTGCGGTACGAGCTGCCCGAGCTGGTGACCGCGGCCCTCGAGGGAGTAACGGTAAAGCTCGGCCGGCGGCTGTAGGATTTTGTCGGCGGCTGCCACGGAACCTCGGCAGTCGGCGAGCAGAGACAGCTTATATAGGGCACTCGATGGCGGCCCGGCGTGAAATCGACTGCCCGTCCATAACCAGCTATGAATTAGGGACTTACCACTCCCCGTCCTGCCTGGAATTCATTTCCTCCCTGACCACGCTTGCGGCGATTTGAGCCGCCTGAAGCCGCTTACCTCCCCCCCAGAGCTGTAGGATTTTCGCTACAACCTGCCCGGATTCTCGGCGACAGCATTTGCGGAATGCACAGGTAGACTACAAGGAACTCTTCGCTTCTCGATCGTTCTGATAGAAGCGTCTGGGAAATGCGGCAACAGAGAAGAGACGGTGGGGTCGGGACTTTGAAGGGGCAACAGGGGTCGTCGCAGCGGAGTTAATTCAACTGTGACACTCTCAGTCGCATTCAAAAATTCGTCCTCGTCCGTCGGTTCGCGTGCACGAGTTTCGCGATCGCGGCACGAACGATTGATCTGGGCTTAGTGAAACAAAACGGTTCGTGATGAGCACCACCGAAGCCACAACCAATCATGTCACCTCGGCCAACAAGCCGGTGCTCAATGGTGTGATCAATACGCGCCAGAGCGAAGACGTAAAGCCCGCGGCTCCCGTATTGCCAACGCCCGCCCAAGCCGCGGCGCGAGCACCGTCGACCACATTCTTACGCCTGTCGGCCGGCACGATTTATTTCTTCTTCGGCTTCTTGAAGTTCTTCCCCGACCTGAGCCCGGCCGAGTTGTTGGCCAGCCAGGCGGTGATGCGACTGACCTTGGGCATTCTCGATGCTCAGACGGCGCTGTTCATGCTGGCGATCATGGAGACGGCCATCGGGATCTGCTTCCTGTTCAACTTGTTTCCCAAGGGCTTGTTTCTGGTTTTCATTTTCCACCAGGCCAGCACATTCACACCGCTGTTTATGTTCCCAGAGATTTGCTTCAAGTTTGTCCCCTTCGCTCCGACGATGGAGGGGCAGTACATCTTGAAGAACCTCATTTCTGTCGCCGCGGGATGGACGATATTGTTGCCGGCCATGAAGGCTAGTTGGGCGAAGTGGTTTCAAGAACGTGCGGCTCGCAAGATGCAGAGCAGTCCGCACATCGAACCAGTAGCCATCAAAGGATAACGACAACCGATGACCTGGCAGACAATCAAGAGTTATCGCACCCATTTCATCGCCGTTGCCATCGCCCTGGGCTTGGGCACCGGTATCAGCGTGACCTATGCGAAGTATCGCGGCACCGAGTTGAGCCGTGTGCCAGCTCGCCCTACCGATATTGCTCCCGAAGTTGAAGGGCACGACACGTACGCCACGCCCTTCTACTCACAGCCGACGACCGACGAGTTAATACTCTACCCGACCGTCGACAAAGGGATGCGAACCCCCTTCGACTTGTGGCGGTACTACGGGCGTGGGGCCTCTTCGTTCAGTTCGCCCATGATGCCGATGCGGTTCGAGCAATGGCTCTCGTTCCACCGCAATCAAAAGCCGCAACTGATGAAAGACGTGCGGGCCTACATGAACGGCCGCTTCAACTTCTCGGGCGAGGCCATCGAGGAGCAAACCATGTCGGGCGGCAAGCCCATCATGAAAGGCCCCGTGGCCCGACTGCCCGACGGCATCGAATCATTTGAAGAACTAGCCAAGCTCAGCCCCGAGGAAATTCGGGAACAGGACATCTTCCCCTACAAGCCGCTGGCCCATCCGCTGCAGACCACGGCCCACATGGTGTTCCCCGATCAATGGGTGGCCGTGCATCCCGAGCACAAGCGAATCGACGTGGATATGGACTTCCCCACGGCATACCTGCCCGAGTTCCCGCCACCGTTGTTCCTCACCACGCACAAAGAACTGGGCGACGTGACCAACGGTCAGGAAGTGACCCTCGACAATTTCTTCCCCATCTTCGACGGGCTGCTTACGCCCGAGCAGATGGAAGGTTTGAAGGAGCTTCTGCGTCCCTCGCCCACCACGTGGTTCAACCACACCGATCATCGCGTGACCGAGAAGGCTTCCAAGGGCGTGGCCTGCATGGACTGCCATGTCAACGGTCACACCAACGGCGCCTTCGAGCTGGCTCCCGACTCTCGGCCGCACATGGCACGGCTTCGCGTTGACACGCCCACAATGCGGGGCAACTTCAACCTGATGCAGCTTTCGTCGAAACGTTCGGTGCGTAGCTTGGATCACTTCTCGGAAATCGAAGAGTACTTCGATGGCGACCCCGGCATGCAACAGGCCATTGGTCCTCGCGCGGTGAAGCGTGAAGTGAGCAACCGCATGGCCGACTTCAACGCGATTATCGACAACCCGCCGGCCCCCAAGCTCGACCCGTTGATGCGACTGATTCCTTCGAAGTCCACCGAGTCGGAACTTCGCGGCGAAGCCCTGTTCCACGGCAAGGCCCAATGTGCCAAGTGCCACTATGGGGCCGCCTTCACCGACGACAGTATGTACGACCTGATGGTCGAACGGTTTTATGTGGGGCGCCCGGAAGGGCCCATCAAGACATTCCCACTGCGGGGCATCAAAGACAGCCCACCGTACTTTCACGACGGTCGCTGTCCCACCCTGCACGATACAGTCGAGTTCTTCAACATCGTGTTGCAGCTCAACCTGAATAAACAAGAGAAAGAGGACCTGGTGGCCTACATGCTGTGCTTGTAACGGCGTGGAACAACGTTACACCACTTCAAAGTCACCCCGAATGGGCAAACAAGAAACATTATCAATCGGGTTCGGAGGTTTGATTCAATATGTCAGCAACGGCCGCCTGTGACATTCGGGACGTTCAGCGCCCGATGAGTTGGATGGACAAGATCAACGGTCCTTACCACAAGGAAGCGTTGTACGTTTACGTGGTCATTGTGCTCGCACACTGGGCAGAGCACTTAGCGCAAACCGCGCAGATTTATCTTCTGGGCTGGTCCATTCCCGAAAGCCGTGGCGTGGCCGGGTTGTGGTACCCCTGGCTCGTGAAGTCGGAAGCCCTGCACTACATGTACGCCTTCGTCATGCTGGTCGCCTTCTGGATTCTGCGGAAGGGCTTTGTCGGACGCTCTTATACCTGGTGGATGGTGGCCTTCTGGATTCAGTTCTGGCACCACATCGAACACGCCTTGCTGCAAGCCCAGGCGATTTTCCATCACAATCTGTTCGGCGCTCCGGTTCCGATGAGTGTGGCTCAGTTGATCATTCCCCGCGTGGAACTGCACTTGTTTTACAACACGGCCGTCACCATCCCAATGGTGATCGCGATGTTCTATCACATGTTCCCGCTGCCGGGTGAAGAAGCGCATCAAGGCTGCAGCTGCTCCTGGAATCCGCGCCCGCGAACTGCAGCTTCGCCCACATAAGTCAGACAAAGATTTTCGCGAACCTTCCAGGAGCGTGGGGCAGCACTGCTGCTTAGCTCAGCAGTGTCTCCTGGAAGGATATCGATTCATCGTCGCCCCACTCCCTAATTAACAGCCGGCAACCTTCAACGCAGCGCATAACTTGGTTGAAGATCCCATTTGATTGAAGTGAGGTAGAGTCTTGAATTTCATCCGTACGATTATCACTGTGGCGATGATGATCTTGTTGGCGCTTTGCATTGCCGGTTGGATTTGGGCCGACACATTGCCTGCAGAGAAGATGACCGGCGCCCGTTGGGCCTTGGGGCTTTGTGGTGCGATGGCCGTGGGGGCGACCACGTTGCTGTGGTCGGCTAAACAACCGCAGGCCAACTAGTGCATCCATTCAGTCGCATCAACTTTCGCTCACAGAGTCCTTCTATGAAATCTAATTGTTTGGTGTGGCTTCTCGTTCTTTCCGCGAGCCTGCTCGCCGCACCCGGGTGTCGACCTCAGGCGGCCGACACGTCGGACATTGAAGTGGCCCTCGCGCTCGAGCCCTCGCCCCCCGTGGTCGGCGACTCGAACGTGACGCTGACCATCACCGATGCCGCAGGCGAGCCTGTGAGTGGTGCCGAAGTGAAGATCGAAGGCAACATGAACCACGCCGGCATGAAACCCTCGTTTGCCGATCTGGGTGAGACCGAACCGGGAAATTATTCGGGGACGCTCGATTTCACCATGGGTGGCGATTGGTTCATTCTCGTCACAGCTTCGACTCCAGATGGCAAGCAGATTGAACGCAAGATTGATGTCCCCGGGGTGAAGTCTCCGTGACTTCGGTGCAGCAAGAACGACGTCGATCTCAAACCGTTAAGTCTGCGCCCCAAGTGCCGCCCCCAGTGTTCGATGCCCTTCGCGTTCCGCTCTTGGGGCGGTTCCTCAAGTGGCGCTACTCGCGCACGGTGCTGCAAGTACCCGTGCTGTTGGTCAGTCTAGTGATGATCGCCCATGCGTTCTGGGGTCCGCAGCTCGCGCCTAAAAATCTGGCTGCGCTGCTCACCTGGGTTCACTTCCGTGGGCTGGTCGTCCTGGTGCTGTTACTGGCCGGCAACCTGTTCTGCATGGCCTGTCCCTTCATGCTCCCTCGCGAGTTGGCCCGGCGGTGGTTCACCCCGCGGTGGGAATGGCCCACGGCCCTGCGTAACAAATGGCCGGCCATCGTCCTGTTCGTGATGGTGTTGTTCATCTACGAACTGTTCGACCTGTGGTCCGACCCTTGGATGACAGGCATCATGATCGTGGGCTACTTCGCGGCGGCCATCGTCGTCGATTCGCTGTTCCGCCGCGCATCGTTCTGCAAGTACGTCTGTCCGGTGGGGCAGTTTAACTTCCTGGGGTCAACGCTTTCTCCACTCGAAGTGAGTGTGCGCGATCAAGCAGTCTGCAGCTCTTGCACCACCAAAGACTGCATCCGCGGGACCAGGGCCGCAGCGGTCGAAACCTCTGCAAGTAACCAACAACTACCTGTCATCCAACGCGGCTGCGAGCTGGCGCTGTTTCAACCGCGGAAGGTCGGCAACCTCGATTGCACATTCTGTCTCGACTGTGTGTACGCCTGTCCGCACGACAATATCGGCATTGTGTCGCGTCTTCCGGCCGAACGGCTGGCCGTCAGCGGCACGCGCTCGGGCATCGGCAAGATCGAAAAACGTTTCGACTTCACCGTGCTGGCCATCGTGTTCACCTTCGGGGCGCTGCTGAATGCGTTTGCGATGATCAGCCCCGTGTATGCACTGGAACAATGGATTGCCGAAGTCACCGGGCTCCGCGTCGAATGGCCCATTCTGGCCGGTATGTTCGGCGTGGCGCTGGTGCTCGAACCGGCGCTGTTGCTGGGCGTTGCGGCAGCCATCTCACGGTTGGGTTCCGACGAACCGCTCCTGTCGGTGGTGAATCGCTACGCCCGTTCGCTGGTGCCGCTGGGGTTTGGCATCTGGCTCGCGCACTACGGCTTTCACTTCTTCACCGGGTTCCTAACCGTAATCCCCGTGGCTCAGGATGCGGCCGATCGGGCGTTCGGCATGGCACTGTTGGGCGAACCACTGTGGCAACTCGGCGGCATTCCGGAGTGGATCGTCTACCCCATGGAAATCGGGTTCATGAGCCTGGGGTTGCTGGGGTCCTGGCTCGTGGCGTGGTCCATCGCCGATGAAGACTCGCCGCGCCGCGTGTGGGGCAGCTTCATGCCCTGGGCCGTGTTGCACCTGCTGCTGTACGTTTCGGCCATGTGGATCATGACGCAGCCGATGGACATGCGGGGCACCTTCCTGGGAGGCTAACATGTCCGCTTCGCACCGCTGGAACCCTCGCACCGCATTGCGTCTGATCGCGCTGGTACTGTTTGGCTCGCTCGCGAACTTATCGAGTGCCCACGCGCACCAGGGACCTCCCTTCCCGATCATCATGGACGAACCACTGGGCGACTACGTCGTTCAGGTGTGGACCGATCCCGACATCGGCGAGGCCACCTTCTTCGTCATCCTCGAAACTCCCGCGGGCGATCCTCCCAGCGAAGTTCCCACCGTATCGATGTGGGCCGAACCGGTAAACAAACGGCTCGAACGCACCAGCTACGAAGCCCATCAGCAGAACTTGCGCAACCGCATGCAGTTCGAGTCGAAGCCCTACTTCGATATCCAGGACATGTGGAACGTCGGCTTCGTCATCACGCCGCCTGGCGGAACACCGTTAGAGCTATCGACCGAAGTCGAATCGACCCCGCCCGGCTTGGGCCCTTGGGACTTGGTGATTTACCTGCTGCCCTTTCTCCTCTTCGGCGGCTTATGGCTGATGGGCCTGGTACGGAAAAGACGCTTTGCAGCTCAAGCCCGCAGACAAGCGCTGGCCGCTAAAGAACACGCCCCGCCCGAGGCCCAACAACTGGCCGAGTTGGACTAACGCGGATCGCCTCTAAAAGAAGCTCCAGAATTGAAGGCGTACCAACGTGCCACTGGCGCCGGCTACGTAACCGGTTCGATCTTGCTGGGCCGGTGAACGGTCGAGATAGCCGACGTCGAGCGTGAACCGCGAACCGCGGCGTCCCTTGAGATACCAGTTGGCCCCGCCACCAATCTGGGAGCCAGCCCCGTAATCACCAGTCACATACGAGCCGGTGCTAAACAGCTCGAGCCGTTGCGGTACGACGAAGAACCCGCCTTGCACGAAGTAACCGTGGTCGAACAACGAATCGATAGGCAAGGGCCCGGTTCCTCGCAGTGCGGTGAGCCAGCGCAAAAAGTATTCTGCCGAAATGCAGATGCCTCGATACTTCACCCCGCCATGCACAGCGTAAAGTGCGATATCGAATTCGTTGACCGTCACCCCGGGCGCGATCGCCCCCGTCTCGACAAGCCGGGTACCGTCGGATAGTCGAATCACCGTCTGTTCCGGCCCTGGGTCTCCGGTCGATCCGCGGTCGTTGTGGGTGTATGTCATCGCATTGCCCACACGCATCACGGGCGTTTCGTGATACTCTAAGTCGGAAAAGCCCACGCCAAAACTTCCCAGCGGTTCCCACCACAGCATGCCCGAGTAGGCCAGGTTCGAGTCCAACTCGCCGGCGCGAAGTGAGAAGGTATTGAACCCGTTGCCGATCAGCCCGCGATAGAAAACCCCTTCGCCCACTTCACCGTCGGCCCACACGCCGGCGGTCATCGAGGGGCGAAAGAACGTGGTGGCCATCGTCCGGTCGGCCCCCAACGTATAACGCGAAGTCTCAAGCCATTCCCAGGTGCCCGGCACTTTGCCCAAGCCCGCGTGCAGATTGAAGGCATCGCTAAAGGCGAACGTAGCCCACGACATCAACAGCTGAATCTGGTTTTCGGAAACCGTGTTGTAGTCGATGTTGGCGTAGAACCGCAGCTTGGGGTCGAAAGCATACCCGGAGAACACCAACCGACCACGATTGATATCAAAGTCGTTTCGATCTTCAATCGGAACGGTAACGCCTGCACTGTTAGTGAAAGTCGGTTTGCTGGGGCCGAACCCGGTGTAGCGAAACTGGTTATGCAGGTTGATCTGCAACTCGTAGGGTGAAGCCTCAACATCGTAAGGGCGTAGCACCCAACCCCCGTCGTACACCACGTAGTGACTTGGCCCCTCGAAACCATCCGGCCCGCAACCCTCACACGGGTAACCATTGCAGGGCCCCATACAAGGCGAAGGCATGAACACCGGGTCGCAATCCATCGGGTCGGGCAGCCGATAGACGGGCTCGGGCTCTGCCTTCAATGCTTCCAGTTCGTTTTGCAACTGGAAGACGATACCTTCCAACTCATCGATCCGCTGATCGACCTGCAGGCCCTGGCCGGGGCTTTCGACGTTAGGCGGCACCGCGGGTGGTTGTCCACTTGCGTGGTTCGACGAAAGAAAAAGCAAGCAACTCGCGCACACGACGCGCAAGACTGCGAAGGCGCGTCGGTGCATTGCCTGGTCCATCGGTAATCCGTGCCCAATTGTGGCAGCGGGAGCGCTGCGGGAAGCCAAAGCTGGGGTGCATGCATTCTGGCCCTGTGCCGCCCATAGCATTGAAGCCACACCGTCTGCTTCCTCATCGGCTTGCAGCGGTGGCTAACTTTGACGGTTGTGCGGATGGCAGCAAGCTACCAGCCCCCCTTTAACCCAGGACCGAAGTCCTTATATTGCAAGGCGAGAGAGCATTCGCGGGCGGTAGATGACCACCAGCTTTGAGAAATCCCACGAATGACCGGCCCCGGCCCCCCTCCACCCAACCTTCGTCTCGATCGCGTATTTGAAGAACCAGAAACCGGGTCGCCGAAGCGAACCGTGCTATTTCTGGGATGCTTGCTTGCGGCAGTGGTGCTCACGCTGCTGTTCGCCCGAAGTCCCGATTTGCAACCGGCCGCTACACGCGCGCTGTTTATTTTATTGCTATCGGTGCTGTTGTGGGTCACTGAAGCAATCCCCGCCTTCTCAGTAGGCATACTTCTAATTGCCCTGCAGATTGCCTTGCTGGGCGACCCCGAGTCGGGCGTTTACGCACACTCGGATAAGGACTGGGAGCACTTCGTTGCGGTTTTGGGTAATCCGCTCATCTGGCTTTTCTTTGGCGGGTTTGTGCTGGCTGCCGGAATGCAGCGTTGCGCGCTCGATCGCTGGCTGGCTTCTCGGTTGCTCACCCGCTTTGGCACTCGGCCCGGCAATGTGATGCTGGGGGTGATGCTCACGACGTTCGTGCTGTCGATGTTCATGTCGAACACCGCAACCACCGCCATGATGCTGGCGATACTGGCTCCCCTGCTGGCGACGCTTCGCTTCGACGATCCGCTGAACAAAGGGCTTCTCGTCGGCACAGCCGTGGCCGCAAACCTCGGCGGCATGGGCAGCTTGATCGGCACCCCGCCCAATGCCATCGCCGTGGGTGCCCTGGCAGATACCAATGGCGGTCACACCATCAGCTTTCTGGAATGGCTGTTGTTGGGCCTCCCCCCGGCACTGGCTTCGATGTTGCTCGCCTGGCAGGTGCTATTGCGCATGTACCCGGTGGGCGATCGCTCGATTGAGCTGGACGTGAGCATGGAGAATGGAACACCCGAGACGCCGAGCCCTCAGTGGCAACGTGCGATCGTTACTTTAACCCTCATGGCTACCATCGGGATGTGGCTCACTTCGCAGTGGCACAACATTCCCACCGCCGCCGTGTCGTTCTTGCCGATTGTTGCCCTCACCACCACCGGAATCCTCGGCGTGCAAGAAATCCGAGGGCTAAGCTACGACGTGTTGTTCTTGATGGCCGGAGGGTTGGCCCTGGGGCAAATGGTCACCGAGACAGGGCTTGCCGAATGGATCGTCGCCCAACTCCCGATTCAAGGACTCGGCCAACTCGGTTGGGCATTTCTGTTGGCTTACGTCACCGTGCTTCTTTCGAACTTCATGAGCAACACGGCAGCGGCCAACATCCTGGTGCCCCTGGGCATCACGCTGGCCGTGGGGTTCGAATCCACCGTGGCAGTCTCGATCGCCTTTGGAGCCTCGGCCGCAATGTGCCTGCCGGTCGCTACACCCCCCAATGCAATGGTGTACGCCACGGGCCGCTGCGGCGCGGTCGATTTCATCAAAACTGGCATCCTCATGGGCCTCCTAGTCCCGGCCATCGGTATCCTGTGGTTGAAGCTGATGCTCTCCACCGTGCTGGAGATTTGAACGCCGAAAATCATATCGCAATCCATTACCCTCGATGATTGACTCGGCCTATTCCATCGTCGAGATTGACGGAACGTTCGTGAGGTCATTGTTCACGCGTGCGTTCGAGTTTTTAGAAGCGATCTTACAACCTCGCATGACCTGAACGTGGGTGCCACTGCTGGCTTGCCCAGCAGTGCCGGTCGCGAGTACACACGTCTAGGCTTTGAAGTCGCTTCTAATCAACTGGTACAGTTAATAGAGCACTCAACTGGGGAGATCATCATGAATCGCAAACAGGCTTCCGACTTCGATCAAGAACTGCTCGACCTGTACGACGACTACGCCCATGGTCGGATCGAACGCCGGCACTTTTTGCGACGTGCCTCCAAGTTCGCGGCGGCCGGAATGACCGCCGAAGCGGTGCTTGCGAGCCTCAGCCCCACGTACGCCTGGGCCCAACAGGTCAACCCCGACGATCCGCGGATCGAGACCGAGTACATCGAATACGATTCGCCCAAAGGCGGCGGAAAGATACGCGGTCTCCTCGCCCGACCGGCGAAGGTCGATAGCAAATTGCCCGCCGTGTTAGTCGTTCATGAGAACCGTGGCTTGAACCCTTACATCGAAGATGTCGCCCGCCGACTGGCCGTCGATGGGTTCCTGGCCCTCGCCCCCGATGCGCTGACCCCGCTGGGTGGATATCCCGGCAACGACGACGAAGGTCGCGAGATGCAAGCCAAGCGCGAGTCGGAAGAGATGACCGAGGACTTTGTCGCTGCGGCCAAATTGCTCGACAGCCACGAACTCTCCAACGGTAAGGTCGGCGTGGTCGGCTTCTGCTTTGGCGGTGGAATGTGCAACACGCTGGCCGTGCGAATCCCCGAGGTGCTCGACGCGGTTGTCCCCTTCTACGGCCGTCAGCCCGATGTGGAAGACGTCTCGAAGATCGACGGTCCCTTACTCCTTCACTACGCCGGGCTCGACCAACGAATCAACGCCGGATGGCCCGCGTACGAAGAAGCCCTGAAAGAAAACAGCGTCGAGTACACCGCCTTCATGTACGACGGCAAGAACCACGGCTTCCACAACGACACCACCCCCCGCTACGACGAATCGGCCGCCAAGCTCGCCTGGGACCGCACCATCGCATTCTTCAAAAAGCACCTGAGCTAGACGCGACACGAAATGAACGAAGGGTGCCGTCTAGCGCAGTGAAGACATACCGCCATTGTTTTCACGATCTGCAAAACCACGACACCTTTCCGCATTGGTGCGTCTTTGCTGCGCTTGACGGCACCCTACAATCAATCGCCAGCGTTAAACCTATGCCGCGCGGTCGACTCGTCGCGCATCGCGGGAGCGCCGTTCCAGGAACCAGCGGCTGTCTAGCACCATGAGTGCGACGCGGTCTTCGAGGTTGGGGCGGAAGACAGTGAGGAGCATCAGCGGGAGGTACCACGCCATGTAGGTTCCGCCCTGCGGGGTGTGCCAGAACTGTGTGGCCAGCATCACGGCGGCCGAACAGCTAAGCAGTGTGCCAAGGTTCTTCTGGGCGGGCCAAATCACCAGCCCAAACGAGAATGCCACGAAGGCGGCCAGTACTGGAATGCGATAGTCGCTCTGGTTACTGCTCCAGAACCCGTCGGCACCGCTCATCATCAGGCTGGTCCAGCCGAACATCTGCTGCAATTGCAGGAAGAAACCGTTGAGTGATGAACTGGTGAGCGCCAACGAGGCGACGACGAGTAAGAGTGTGCAGATCCCCCCAGTAAGAAACCGCCACAGGCCGCGTTGCCAATAGAAGCCAATCCACAGTGGCAGCAGGAAGATGGGATAGTAAATCGTCCCGGCGGCCAGCCCGAGCATAATCCCCGCCAGCAGCGGCAAGCGGTACAGCGCTACGGCCCACACCAGCAGGGCGGCTGGCAACACGTGATCCACACGTCCCACCATCTGGGCTGTGTAGGGCAGCAGCAGGTAAATCCCGGCGGCCGAAAGTCCCGCATTCAGGTTCTTGAAGTGCCGGTAACCAATCAGCACCAGGCCGGCCACAATCGCCAGGTGCGAAAGAATGGCCATCGTTCGAGCCGTGGCCGTGTGAACGAGGGCCTCGTTTTCGTTGGCCGGCAGTGCTTCGTCCACTGGCACCAGAGCACGGCTGGAAACCGTCGGCAGCAAGTGCAGCAACGGATAGCCAGGGCCGTGCTGCGGCATGGTGGCATCGGCCGCGGGAACATTCTCCCGGGCCAGAATTTGATCGAGCCGGCGCGCACCTTCCAAGTCGCTTTCCGTCAGTGTACTGGTCGCCACGTTCGCCATGAGGAACAGCAACAGCGAGCCGCACATGAAGGTCAGCCCGCCCACCGAGAGGTTCGGTTCCAGCAGCGGACGTCGCAACATCAACGGATCGATGATGAGGCGGATGAAGTAGATGCCCCCGGCGACAAACAGCCAGTCGTAGCCGAAAGTCTCCAAGTTGCCACCTTGATCGAGCAGCAACAGCCCGGGCGCGAAGGCGATCAAGGCCAGCAGGTCGAAGTTACGAACGCTCCATACCCGCGAAAACTTGAAGAAGACAGCCACCATCATCAACGACGAGATGTAAACCCACGTCGTTGGTGGCAAGTCCCATTGATAGAGGATACGACCCATGGCTTTCGCCCCGCGGTATTTCGGCTGTCACATCCGTGCTGCGAGGGTACGAACGGTGTCGTCTGATTTTCGCGGTTGGTCGAAGGGACTCCTTGCTCCTCTGTGAGCACACCGAGCGAAAATAACAGCTTGCAGAATAAGTGTTTACCGCGAATTTTCAAGGCCCAAACACCCGCCTCCCGCCGACCCAGGCTGATCGTAAGCCCTGAAATACAGCAAAGTTTGTGCAGATCAACAGCGATGCAGAGTTAGATGCCGCGGGGGACCGATGGGGATTTCCCCGGGTTTGTCTTACGGCTGAGCACCCGTCACGCGATCGCTAACTCGTCGCTGGGTTGGCTTCCACCCGCGATCGGGCTTTGTCGGCCCAGGGGCTATCGGGGGCCAACTTGAGAAAGCGCTGCCAGTGCGAGACCGCTTCTTCGCTGCGGCCGAGCAGGTCGAGGGCTTCGGCCAGGTGATATTGCGCGTCGGCGTAGTCTTCGTGGTGGAGCAGGGCACCTTCGAACGCCGCCACGGCCAGCTCAGTCTCGCCGGTTTCGAGCAACACGCAGCCCAAGTTATTGCGGGCTTCGACCAGGTCCTCATCCAGCTCGATCGCCATGTAATAGCGTTCCCGGGCACCGGGAATATCACCCTGGCGGTACAGCACTTCGGCCAGCAGGAAACATATGTCGGCCTTGGGCCCGCCGGCAGCCAACGCCGCGCGGTACAGCTCGGCGGCAGTCTTCAGGTCGCCCTGATCTTCGAAGTCGGCGGCCTGTTCCACCAAGTCGCTAGGCGTGGCGATAAAGTCTTCAGCTTCGGTAGCAGTGGAAGACGCCCCGGCGTTCTCTTCTTGCGAAACGCTTAACGCCTGGGCATCGTCCTCGGCGGCTTCTTCGCTGGCGTCGAAGTTAAGCCGGAGTTGCCCGCCGGAGTCGACCAGTCCGTCTCCCTGGCGGAGAAGGATGTGTTTACCTTCGACGATCACCGAGAGTTGGGCCAGCGAACGTTCAGCATCGGGCAGCCAGCGACCCAGCCGATCGAGTTGTTCTTCCAGTCGGCGCGGCGGAACGCCGTCGGCCAGCAGCGATGCGAGTCTTCTGGCCGTTGTCACTTCTTGATAGTCGAAGTACGGCAGCTTGTGTACTTCGCGCACGGGAGTGATCAAACCCCGGCGATGCCAGCGACGCACGATGGCCACCGAAACGCCCAGCAGTTCGGCCAGCATGGCAGGCGTGTAAAGCTGACGAACGCCTTGTTCGGTATCGAGCAACCCGAGGCGGTGCCAGAGTTCGGTCTCGCTGATCACCTCGAGCCGTCCTTCGTCGGCCGCTTCGCGGGCCACACCGTCGAACAACTCGGCCATGGCCGGGGCATCGCTGAGCACAAGATCTTGCTCACCAACGATGGCCAGATCGACGGTCTCATCCAGCGAGTCGACCGGCAGCGCACCGGCGGCCCGAAGTTGCTGCTTGGCTTCGCGTCGTGTCATGCCTGCGAGCTTGCCAACGATCGCCACGCGACGCTCGATCAGGGGATCTCGCTCGCTGGTCGGTTGCTCGCACACGGGACGCTGAGAATCTTTAGAAGACATGATGCCGGTGGCTCGAAAGTCATCCTTGAAACGTAGCCGTCATCATAAACCACAAGCCCGCGGTTTGTCGCCGGGGGCCAGGGGGCAGCGAGAGATTTCATCGCTGCGGTTCGGGCGATAGAGTGTTGCCGCGATCGGCCGTTACGCTGTGAGCCGAATTGCTTACAGCGTGCCGCCGTCGTTGGCTTCTTCATCTTGCGGGCCGGGGATCGAGTCGGCCTCTTCGTCGCTCAGCGAAGGACGCTGGTCGGCACCACCTTCGAGCGAAGGTTCGGCTTCCGATTCCGGCTTGGCCACAGTCGGCTCGTTCGAGGGCGACATGGGTTGCGTCGAGCTGGTCGGCGGAGCCTGTTGGGCCGGAACCAACGTGCTGGGGGCCGGCGAGGCGGGCACAATCACGCTGGGCGAGACCAGATCGTTGCCGCAGGGATCGAGCGGAACGCGTCGGACGATGGTCCGTGGCACGCGACGCACGTAGTTCATTTCAACCCGCTTCTCGACGCACCGCGGAACACGGACGGTTTCTTCGTAAGCTTCCATGCGACAAACCCGAACCGGAATCTGTTCGACGCGTTCTTCGCAGACCGTGCGGAAGGTGGTCACCGGGATCTTGCGGACCATTTGCTCTTCGACCCAACGGCAGGTTCGCACCGGCGTTTGCTGTTCAACCCGTTCGTACACGGGGCGTTGCACGGTGTAGGGGACCTTACGCACATGCTCTTCACAAACCATGCGGCAAACCTGGAAGGGTACCTTGCGGACCATTTGCTCGTCGACGTAACGACAAGTCTGGAAGGGAACCTTGCGAACCATGGTCTGCGGTTGCATCACCGTGACGGGCACCTGCTGCGCAACGATGTTCGGACGCCACACCTGTTGGACTTCGGTGCGTGGGGGACCCTGTACGGGAACCCAAGACAGGCCGCCGCGGAAGTACGAGGTCTGCCCGGTCACGGGGTCGGTTGTGCAACCGCTCGGCAAGCAACGCAGCTTGTGGCAGATCTTGCCAGGCTTGCAGGTGACCTGGTTCTCGTAGCAGCCCTGATCGACGTAGTTGGTTTGGTAAGTGGTCACGGGCCGCATCACGGTGTAGCATTCTTCCCGCTCGTGGTTTTCCACAATCTGGCGGCGAACCGTGTAGCATTCGTCGCGTTCGTGCGTTTCCCACACGGGGCGGCTCGTGGTATATCGTTCTTCGCGTTCGTGCGTTTCGCACACCATTCGCATGGTGGTGTAGCTGGTGTCGCGCATCTCAGTTTCATAAACCGGGCGGCGAACGGTGTAGCACTCTTCTCGCTCCGAAGTCTCAGCCACCTGGCGAGCCACGGTGTAGCGTCGTTCACGCATTTCGGTTTCGACTACCGGTCGGAAACGCGTAACGCGATGTTCTTCGTACTGCATTTCGGTTTCAATGCGGTAAGCAGTAACCGGCTGCTCTTCATAGACTGTCTGTGTCTCAATGCGATAGGTTTGGCAGGGCGTGGCGCAAGACGTATCGCACGAAGAGCACAACTCGTGCCCCACGGCGAACGAGGCCGGAGCCAATCCGAACAACACGATAAACGCTGCGGTACTCAGTACAGTCTTCATGATCATCAATCCGCGATTTGGAAAATCACAGTCCTTCTGCGAACCCCCACCATTAGGAGATTCTTGCCGGCCGAAACGGCCTTCTGCCCAGGTGAAAAGACCTCTTCTGTTCACCTAGATGAGTGTTGCTAACGAATTGCGCGCCTGCAAACAGAAAAGTTTAACATCGCTGAGGTACACAATTGTAAGCGTATGTAAAGTATGGGTTTACGGAATCCGAAATTCACTGAAGATTTTTGCGGGACAAACCGAACACTTACATTCGAGCGATTTTGCCGGGTTTGCCTGATCGTTCAGGTCGGTGCCTGCGCAGGCACCCCCAGCATGGATAGCACTGCGCTAGTGTAGGTTGCGATTTGGGCCCCAGAAGCAAGTTTTCCCGCGAAATTAAGAACGCCGATATGCAAATGCTCGACCTCACCATGCCGACCGTGGCCGAAGATTTGGCCCTCGACGAGGCCCTGCTCAACCTGGCCGATCGCGAAGGGACTCCCCGCGAGATATTGCGGCTGTGGGAACCGCAAACCATGGGCGTGGTGCTGGGGCGATCCTCGCGAGTGAGTGATGAAGTCGACTTAGCGGCCTGCAAACAGATGGGCGTTCCGGTGCTCCGCCGTTCCAGTGGTGGTGGGACCATCGTCACTGGCCCCGGCTGCTTGATGTATTCGCTCGTGCTGAGCCTGGAGCTTCGACCGTCGCTGGTCTCGGTCGATGAGGCCCATCGCTTCGTGCTGGAGACCAACGCGAAGGCGCTCGAGCTACTGGTCCCGGGCACCGCGAAGCAGGGCACCAGCGATCTGGCCGTGGCGAATCTCAAGTTCTCAGGCAACAGCATGCGATTGAAGCGAACGCATTTGCTGTATCACGGTACGCTGCTGCACCGCTTCCCGCTCGAACAAATCACCACGCTCTTAAAACAACCCCCGCGCGAACCCGAGTATCGCGCCGGCCGTGCGCACGAACAATTCGTGCAGAACCTCGATGTCACGTCCGCCCAACTCCGCGAAGCCCTTATCACCGCCTGGCAGCCTGAGGCAACCACCACCGACTGGCCCCGCGAGGAAGTTGGCAAATTGATGCAAGAACGATACAGCCAAGCCGCCTGGCATCATCGCCATTAGCCCATGAGCCAATTCTATACCCGCCCTGTAGGGAACGCCCTCCGTGGCGTTCCGGGCGTAACGGCAATTCTCGGAACACCACGGAGGGCGTTCCCTACAGCGCGTTTGCGCAAGCTTCCTACACCAAGCCCCAGCGCTTTCGCAGGTACCACTCGGTCATCAAGCAGCCGGTCATCAGGAAGAACAGCGGCCAGCCGTCCCATAGATCGACCTTGGTGAGCACTTCCACGTCCAGGTTCAGCGGCTGATTGCGGATGCGTTCCAGCAGGCTAGTGAACTCCTCGAGCGAAACGCTTTCTCCGCCGGCAGTTGCTGCCAGATTAGTCATCATGCCGGCGTCGGCCGCTGGGTTATCGAGTTCGAGATCTTTATCCCACACCAGGAACCGCGCTTGAGCCTCGCCTAGGGATTCACCCGCTGCCGACGTGGCCGTGACCGAAACCATGTAATCGCCCGGCGCTCGCCCTTCGGCGAACGAACCCTGTTTCGCTTCGTTCTCGGCATAAACGGGCAAGTTGAATTGTTCTTCGTCCGGGGCGGTTATCTGCACATCGAATGTCGCATCGGTGTTCGGCGTGCCTTCGGAAGTTTGTGCCCCCACCGTGACTTCGACTCTTTCGCCGGGTGCGAAACGGCGGCGGGGCAGCTTCACCCATACGTTGCCTTCCTGTTTGTCTTCCTGATGGGCCAACCAAAGAATGGCCTGTCGCCAGAACCGCCGATGTGCGGCATCGAAGCCATGCATGCGCCATTGCCAGGTCGAGTCGCCGGCGAACGCCATCGTGCGGCCCTTACCGTAGTCGCCGGCCACCAATAGCGGTGCACCGTTTTCACTTTCGGCCAGCACCAACGCTCGCGGTTGTAGGGCAACGAAGCGGTTCGCTCCGTCGAGGGCCGGCAGCGCCCGCCATACACTTTCATTTTTCGATGGCGTGTCGAGCAGCATCACGAAGTGCCGTTCACCCATCGTCGTGGGCAGCACCTTCGGCTCGGTGGGCAAATGCAAATCGGCCCGAATCGGCTCATCGAACGGTTGCCGTTCCAACGGGTCCATTCGAATCGGCAGCACGTCGGCCAGAGGAGTTCGCGCGTATTGCCCGGCTCCAAAACTATGGATGCCGCCGAGCATCATCAGCCCCGCCCCTTGTCCCACGGTTTCGCGCAGCTGTTCCAGCTCTTCGGTGGTCAACGCCTGAGCATCCAGGTCGCCGATCAAGTACACGTCGTACTTTCCCGGCGTGAAGCGTTCGGCCAAATCGGTCGGGCGGGACGAAGGCTCCTCGGCATCGATCCGCAAATAATCCACGCGAATATCGGGCGAGGCATCGAGAGACTGCCGGATGAACTTCTGCTCGGGCCGCAATGCACCCTCGAGGTACAACACATTCAACCCACCGGAGAGGACCGTGACGAACGTGCTGAGTTCGTTGTTCGTCACAATCAGTTCTCCCGGCTGCGGAACCGAGCGGAGCGTGACTTTGTACTCGCCGGGGAGTTGTGGTTCGTGTGTGAGCTCGATTCGTAACTGCTCGCCCGACTCGCGAGGGCGCAACGTCGTGCGGCCCACCTGCCGCATCTCTCCATTGCCCGTCTCGAACAGCAGTTCGACCGGCACTTCTTGCTCCGCGAAGCCCTCCAGGGTGGCGTTGCCCACCACGGCCAACTGGTTCTTCACGAACACCGTTTGATTCACCAGCAACTCACGCAACGCAACGTCGCGCACCTGACCCAGCCCGCGGGCTTGCCCGAAGGTGACGGTATGCAATGGGTATCCGCGATCGAAAAGCTGTCGGGCCACCAACTGCGCCGGCACATCGCGTGGGGCATACGCTCGTTGGGCTCCGTCGGAGAGCAAGATCACGCCGGCCAGGCGTTTACCTTCTTCCAACCGCAGCACGTCTTGCACGACCGAACCGATGGCCGTTTGCTTCCCCTCGGGAGACTCGGGCAGTTCCAACGCGTCGGCACTCCACTCCACGGCATACGGCGCGTCGTCGAACGTATAGATCTGGATCTCCAGGTCTTCGCTCATCTCATCGAGCGTCGGCTTGGCTTGCTCGAGCATCTCGCGGAGTGCTTCCCAGCGGGTTTGGTTATTCACCGCGTCGGAAACCGACATGCTTCGCGACTGGTCGCACAGCACCACCAACGTGGCCGACTGCTTTTTGGTCGACGTATGCACCAGCGTCGGACGTAACATCGCCAGCAACACCAGGGCGACGGCCGTCATCCGCAGCCCGAACAACACCCGGCGGCGGAACTGCGTGGTGCTGGTGAGCGAAGGGCGCAGCATGATCACCACCGCCGTCAGCGCGACGGCGATTACGATCACCAGCAAAAGCCCTCCCACGGGCGACCACGCGAGTCGCATTGTTGTCCCTATGTCTTCACGGTTTCTTCAGAAGTTGAACGATAAAAGCGGTTGGCCAAAAAGTGCTCACCGCCCAACACCAGCGCCGCCAGCACCATCAACAGGCCGAACAACTCCCGCCCCACGCGACCCTGACCCTGCACGCGCACCAGCTCTTGTTCATTGCGGGCCGTCAAAAATTCATGATCGCCGAAAATCGTCTTCAGTTCTTCACGATCGATACGCTGCAAGTCGCTGTCTTCCAGCGGGATGTTTACGCTGAAGCCCTGATCGATGCCATCGCGGGTGCCTCCCGACTGAATGCGGTATTGCCCGGGCCATTCGGTGGCGGTGATCCCAATCGTGCGGCTTTGTGTGTCGGTCGTCCGGCGGAAGCGTTCGCCCTCGGGGTTGGTCAGCACGAAGGTCGAAATCGGCTCGTCCCCGCCGGTGCGAATCGATGCCGTCTGCCCCAGCAGATAGTTCAGTTGACTGTCGGTGCTGCCAACCAGGTACAACATCATTTCGTTGGTCACCACGAAGAACGGCCACGCCTCGAACCCGAGCAGTTCGTTCCAGTTGGTGGTCCCCGGCTCGTACACCAGCGAAGTGGCCAGCGTCATCACGCGTCCGCGACCGATGGGGCGTTCGAACAACGCGGCGCCACCCTTGTTGAAGCCGATCACCTCCGAAGCACCTTCTTGCAAGTCGCCCAATTGCCACGTGCGATAGACGGGATAGGCCTCCCAGGGCACCGAGTCTTGCATTGGCCGCAGCTTGGCCAGCACCGGGTGTTGATAACTTCCCGGTGAAAGGTACAAATCGCCCTCGGGCCAACGACCTTGTCGCAACAGCGGGCCCGGCAGAATCGAGAGTGCCGCCGGCGAGTTGAAGCGATCGACCGGATGGGCTGCAGCCCCCAGAATCACTGCCACACCGCCACCCCCGCTGGCATAGGCTTCCAACTCGGCCCACACGTTGTTTTGCAGCGGCGGGGGATCGAGCAGGCAGACCGCCGCGTAGTTCTCCAGCGGCGCCGAAGCCAACGCATCCCAGGAAACCACGTCGGTTACGAACCGCGATTGGCCGATACTCTGGAACCCCTCCGGCGCAAGCGCCTGCGTGAGCAGTAAGGCCGACTCTTTAACCGGCTCTTTGGCGGCAATCAACACCCGCCACGGCGTCCGCACGTCAACGGTGAAGTAGCGAACATCGTCGAAGGCCAGGCCGTCTTGCCCCACCATGCGGACGAACCCTTGGTGCGTACCTTCGTCGAGCCCACCCAACTGGAAGCCGACCGGTTGCGAGCCATCTTCGGGGACCTCGACTTCCCGTTGCCCCCGCTTCGTGGGCTCGCTGCCGAGTCGCCCGATAAACAGCTCGACGTTCCGCCTGCCAGCATCGCCCTGGCGATCGACGCGACTTTCAATGCGTAGCGTGCTCCGCTTCGAAAGCGTCTCGCTCGACAGCCGCAACTCGCCCAGGGCGTAGTTCTGCGGATGCTCGACCGACACGTCGACCAGGTAGATGCCCACATCGCTGAGCCGCTCGAGCATGCGGGTCAGCTCTTCTGAGTTCCCCACGTTCCATTCCTGCCGGGCGAGATCGGTGAAGATGTAGATCTCTTTCCGCTGCATTTCGCTTTGTTCCAGCAGCCCCAAAGCATCGACGATCGCACTTTCCAGCGGACGCCCCAGCCAGGTGATGTCGAGACGATCGATGCGCTGCTTAGCTGCCGCGATGTCGACTTGAAACACAGCCGCACCTGGAGTGGATTCGAACACCGCCACTTCACTTTCGGCCGGCAACTGAGGCAACAAGGCTTCGGCAATCTGTTGGGCTTGTTCCAGTCGCGTTCGATTCTCGTGCCGATACTGCATGCGGGGCGAGGTTTCGAACACCATCGCCGCGGCCACCGGCATTTCCTGATTGGCGATACCGCCGGACGACTTGATCGAAGGCCGCGCGAAAGCCAACGCCACGAGACAAATCGCTGCCACTCGCAGCAGCAAGAGCAACAGGTGCCGCAACCGCATCCGGCGTCGGTTCGATTCCTTCCGTCGGCGGATGAACCGCAACGCGGGGAACTCCAAATGCCGGGGCTTCTGCCGCATGATCAAGTGCAGCAGGATCGGAACCCCCGCCAGAACGGCGCCGCCTAACAGTGCTGGATTCACAAAGTCCATCGCCTAACACCTCGCCCGGCGATTGACCAGATACTCCGTTAGGGCCTTGTCGAACTGCATGCTCGTATCAAGCGGCACGTAGTCGATGCGGCTTTGGAAGCACTTCTTGCGGTAGTTCTCGCGAAACTCCAACAGCTCTTCCAGGTAATCGCGCTTGAAGCTGTCGGCGTCGATGCGCAGCGTCTCTTTCGATTCGGGCTCTTCGAACTCGACCATGCCCGAGAAGGGAAAGTGCACCTCGGCCGCGTCGAGAATATGAAACAGAATCACGTCGTGGCCCGCACAGCGTATCTGCTGCAGCGATTTCAGCACGTCGTCCGGCTCTTCCAGCAAATCGCTGAACAGCATCACCAGGCTGCGGTGATGCAGCATGGCTGCCAGTTGATTCATGCAGTGGGCGATGGCCGTCTCGCCCGTGGGTTTCAAGTTAGCCAACAGCGCCAACAGCGACCCGAGTTGCGATCGGCGGGAACGCGGAGGAATGCAGTCGCGAATCTTCGTGTCGAATGTGATCAACCCCACGGGGTCTTGCTGATGGATCATCAGGTAACACAACGCCGCAGCCAGGCAAACACCATAGTCGAACTTCGACAACTGCTGCTCGTACGTGTACGCCATCGATCGGCTCAGGTCCATTACCAGGTAACCGGTGATGTTCGTCTCGGCCTCGAACTTCTTGATGTAGTACTTGTCGGTCCGCGCGTAGACCTGCCAGTCGATATCGTGAGGGTCGTCGCCCGAGGTGTACTTGCGGTGTTCGCTGAACTCGACCGAGAAGCCATGGAACGGGCTGGCATGCAGGCCCTGCATGAACCCCTTGGCGATGAACTGCGCGCGAAGATCGAGCCGCCCGATCTGACGGATGACCTCCGGCTTCAGATATTTTTCAGCAGTCGACATCGCAACGGCTCAGAGAAGAGGGTTCCTAAAGACCGCTCGGATAACCCACCACCCCCGAAAACGATCCTCCATCCTTCAATATAATCGCCCAGCCCAAATCGAACCGTCCTGCCATCTCTCTGCAGGGAACGCCCTCTGTGGCGTTCCGCGAATCGCCGTACCCCTCGGAACGCCACGGAGGGCGTCCCCTACAGCAACTCGCCGGACGCTCGCACGGATACTGTAACTTTCTGGAAACTACCGCACCGCTCGGAACGCCACGGAGGTCGTTCCCTACAGGTGTTCCGAAGGACGTTCGTCGGACACTCCCACCGTTTACGAATCGAACTTTGGAATCTCCGGCTCGGGGATTTCCTTCAGCAGCCGCTCGATGACGTCTTCGTTGGTGACGCCTTCGGCTTGGGCTTGAAAATTGGTTGCAATGCGGTGACGCAGCACTGGGACGGCGATTTTCTTCACATCTTCGATGGCGACCGAAAACCGGCCGTCCATGGCGGCGATGGCCTTGCCGCCGTGAATCAAATACTGTCCGGCACGGGGACCGGCGCCCCATTCGATCAGGTCGCGCATGAACTCGGGCGTCGAAGGGTCCCGCGGCCGTGTGGCGCGAACGATCGACGTGACGTACTTGATGATGTACTCGCTCACGGCCACCGAACCGACCAGCTTCTGCAGGTTCAAAATCGCCTTGGCCGAAAGCACTTTCTTCACTTCCGGCTTTTCGTTTCGCGTGGTGGCCGCCAGAATCTGCTCTTCTTCTTCCCGCGCCGGGTACTCGACCTTGATGTTGAACATGAACCGGTCCAACTGGGCCTCGGGCAGGGGATAGGTTCCCTCTTGCTCGATAGGGTTCTGCGTAGCGATGGTGAAGAACGGATCGGGCAGATTGTAGGTGTTCTGGCCCACGGAGACCTGCCGTTCTTGCATGGCCTGCAGCAATGCGGCCTGCGTTTTCGGCGGTGTACGGTTGATTTCGTCGGCCAGCAGAATGTTGGTGAACACCGGGCCTTCGACAAAACGAAACTCGCGGCGGCGGTTTTCGTCTTCTTCCAGCACGTTGGTGCCGGTGATGTCCGACGGCATCAGGTCGGGCGTGAATTGAATCCGCTTAAACTGCACATCCAGAATCTTCGCTAGGGTGCTAACGATGAGCGTTTTCGCCAAACCCGGCACACCCACCAGTAAGCAGTGTCCGCGCGTGAAAATGGCAGCAAAGATCTGCTCGATGACCTCATCCTGACCGATGATCACTTTTTGCAGTTCTGCCTGCATCAAGCGGCGATGCTGACTGAATTCCTGCAGGAAATCTCCCAGACTGCGGGGCTTGGTAGCCAAGGGCCTATCCTTGCCTTGTTGTGTGAATGCGGGGAAAATACACGGTGAATACGCAGATAGACGGCTAACCAGCGGTTCCTAGATGTGGTACGAGATTTTATCAGTCGCCTGCTGTACCAGCAATTGGAATCGCCGTCTGTCAAAAGCGCAACCTGCTGGCTTCACTTCACTTCCAGCGACACGTCTGACATCAAACGTGCTGTACAAACATAGCGCGACTCTCGGGCGAAGGCTGCTAATTTGTGCTCTCGTTTTTGCAACGCTCGTCTGCAATGCCCGTAGAACCGTTGCAGACGATATCGACCCCGAAGCAGTCCGCCGCGCGATCGATCGTGGCGTGGCCTACTTAAAGCGCGAACAATCGCCCGACGGCACCTGGGGCAATTGGGCCGGCCAGACCGGCGGGGTGACGGCGCTGTGCACGTTGGCCTTACTCAACGCGGGGGTTCCTGTCGAAGACCCCAACATGCATCGCGCGCTCACCTATCTTCGCCAACTCAAGCCAGAGAAGACCTACACCACGGCACTGCAGACCATGGTTCTCTGCGAAGCCGAACCGAAGGCCGATCTGTTACTCATCCGCCGCAATGCAACGTGGATCGAAAGCAAGCAAGTCCGCAGTGGTCCCATGACCGGCGGATGGTCTTATCCTGGCGCCGGCGGAGGAGCCGACAACTCGAACTCCCAGTTCGCCATCCTGGCCCTGCAAGCCGCGGAAGATGTCGGCGTAAACGTCAGCCCTCAAACTTGGCGGCTGGCCCTGTCTTATTGGCGAGAAGGGCAAGCCCGCGACGGTTCGTGGAACTACCAACTCAATGGTCCACCCGCAGGCACGGGCAGTATGACCTGTGCCGGGATCGCCTCGTATGTGATCGCTTCTGGTCGACTCTCCGAAGGCGATGCCGAAGTGGTGAACGGTCGCGTGCAGTGTTGTGCCCGTGCCGATACCGATCCCACCATCGAACGAGCCCTGTCTTGGCTAGCAGCACGCTTCTCAATCAACAAGAACCCCGGCAACCCCGGCTGGTGGATGTATTACCTCTACGCGCTCGAACGCGTGGGGCGGATGACGGCCGAACGATTCATCGGCTCGCACGATTGGTATCGCGAGGGGACCGACATCCTCGTCCGCGGGCAAGATCAACTCTCGGGCTTCTGGGTCGGCCGGGGCAACGACGAGAAGAATCCTCACATCGCGACCAGCTATGCATTATTGTTTCTTTCCAAGGGCCGCCGCCCGGTGCTCATCGGCAAGTTGGCCCACGAACCGCGGGACGACTGGAACAACCATCGCAACGATGTGGCCAATCTAACGCACTACACCGAACGCAAGTGGGACCAGAAGCTCACCTGGCAAGTCGTTCGCAGCGACGCGGCCGAAGTCGAAGACCTGCTGCAGTCGCCAGTCATCTTCATCAACGGTCGCAACGTGCCGGCGTTCTCCAAACGCCAGATCAACGTATTGCGCGAGTACGTCGACCGTGGTGGGTTCATCTTTGCCGAAGCCTGCTGCGATGGCGATGACTTCGACCGTGGCTTCCGTCGGTTAATGGAAGAGATGTTCCCCGAGCCCGAACACCGGCTGCATCTGCTTCCGCCCGAGCACGCCGTCTGGCGAGCCGAAGAGCGCGTCGACCCCGAACTTGCCCGACCGCTGTGGGGTATCGACGTCGGCTGCCGCACCAGCGTGATTTACTGTCCCGAAGATCTTTCATGCTACTGGGAACTCAGCCGCTCGGGCCGCGATCAGACGTTCAGCCCTCAGATCGCCGCCGAGATTGCAGCCGCCAACGCAATCGGCATCAACGTGCTGGCCTACGCCACGAACCGGGAGTTGAAGTTCAAAGACGAGTTGCTCGCTCTGCGAACGGAAGAAGCCCCCGAAGATCGAGTTCCCCGCGGCAAGCTCGCCATCGCCAAGCTCCGCCACACCGGCGGTTGGAACGTCGCCCCGGCGGCGCTTTCGAACTTGCAGCGCTTCGTGGCCAACGAACTGGGCATCCGCGTCGACACCACGCCGCACGAGTTCCCCATCAACGACAAGCAGTTGTTCTCGTATCACCTGGTGTTCATGCACGGACGCAACAGCTTCCGCCTTTCGCCGGCCGAACGCGAGCAATTGCGCACCTACATCGAACGCGGGGGGATGCTCTTCGCCGATGCGGTTTGCGGCAGTGAAGAATTCGCCCGGGCGTTCCGCGCCGAGATGGCCAAGGTCTTCCCCGATGCCCCGCTCGAACGCATCCCGATCGACAATCCGTTGTTCACTCCCGAGTATTCCGGCTTCGACATCCAGAAGGTCAGCCGCCGCGACCCGCAGCGCGGCGACCCCAACGGCCCCTTGAAAGCCGAATACCGGCAGGTCGAGCCTGACCTGGAAGGCATCAAGATAGGCGACCGCTACGGCGTCATCTTCTCGCCCTACGACCTAAGCTGCGCCCTGGAAAACCACGCCTCCCTGGAATGCGCCGGATACACCAGCGAAGACGCCGCCAAGATCGGCATCAACGTGATTCTGTATTCGTTGAACAATTAGCGATCTGCCAGCAATCTGAAATGGCCTCCAAGCCGCTTTCTGCTCTATAGTGTCCCGCGTGAAGGTTCCAGGTCTCGCGCGAGGGCAGAAATTTTGCAATCCACCGACGACAGTCTCAAGAAATCAACTTGGCTTCGGAAAACCGTCGTGGCATGCGCGGTTGTCGTGGTGCTCTTGCTCGCGTTCTTTGTGCTCCAAAGAAACTCCCAGTCGGCCAAACTCGACGCCATGCTGCAGGCGATCCGGGATTCCGGCGAGCCGGTGACTGAGGAAGAGTGGAACGAACACTTTTCTAAAGCGTCTGGAATGACTGAAGCCAGCGCTCTGTGGCAGCACGCGATCACCTCCGGAGCTGTCGCACTTACGAAAGCAGATCAGAGCAAGTTGGACCTTGATGCCATTTTGGATGAACGATTGCAGATTCCCAACTACGCAGAACGGCCAGAGGAATTGAAGGCCTTAGCTGATTACATTGCGAGCATCGAATCGGATTTGGTAGCAATTCACGCTGCCGTGGATGCCAACGAACTGGTGTTTTATCCCTACGACTTTCTCGATCCGGATCGGGGCGTAAACGAGATATGGGGTACCCATCATGACGGTGGCCTGATGGCCCTGCAAACTCTCGTGAGATTGCACCAGGGTGATCTAGATGGAGCCACTGACTCTCTAGTAGCAACACTTGGTTGTGCCAAAGCCATGGACGGCAACCCTGGAACGGCAAACTACATCATGCGCTATGCTACCGAGGCCATGTTTTATCGTTGCGCAGCCGAACTGCTTCAAGATGAAAACCTCTCTGTCGAAGCACTAAGACGGTTGCAGAAGGAGGTCCGATCCATCAACCACCGAGAGAACCTCAAGTGGGGAATCATCGGGGAACGCATCTCAGGGCTGGAATACTTGGCGACAAGCAAAAATGATTACCCGCTGGGAATTCGGCTGGGAGCCACACCGCGGGTAAAAATGCGTTGCGTAGAATCGACCACACGATCGATAGCCGCCATCGAACTCCCCTGGCACGAAGGGCTGATCGAAGTCGACAGGATTGAAAACTCCATGGATGTTAGTCAATCCTTCTTTGATTTTTTGTTCCCTTCGACGGTGCTTTCGCACAGCATGGAGTTCTATTTCGCCGCCGACGGTGTTGCACTGGCTCACAGCCTCGACGTTCTCCTCGCTGCCGAACTCTTCCGCCGCGAGAACGGACAACTTCCCAAGACACTTGAGGAGATGGTGCCCGACTACCTGCCCGAACTCCTCCAAGACCCCTACAACGGCAAGCCTCTCCGATTCGTCGCTGAAGAAGGAGGGGCCGTGGCCTACAGTGTGGGCCGCAACCGTAGCGACGAAGATGGAACGTTCCCATACTCTCAGAAGTTAGGCGTCCGGCCCGATCTAGGTTTCGAACTCAAGCGACCATCGGGTGTCGAACAGACATCATCCCCGGCACAATGACCTTGCGGTCTTCTCACACCTGATCAATCCTCGGCAGCACCCACGGCTTGCGATACTCCTTCCGCGTGAGGTGCTGGTTCGCTTCCTCATCCGCGCCGAACGTATAACTCGCCGGATCGAACTGCACCGTCCTTCCGGTTCTCCAGGCGATGTTCCCTAGGTGGCACAGTGCACTGGAGAGATGCCCGACGGTTTCCAGGTCGGCTCTGGGGCGTTCGCGGCTGTGCATGCAGTCGATGAAGTTTTGGACGTGGCCGGCATCGTCGTAGCCGCCGCTGTCGTTGGCCAGGGGTTCGTCTTTCAGCCCGAAGGCTCGCCAGCGGCTGTTGCCGATGATGATGTATCCGTTGTCGCCGCAAACCATCGCCCCTTCCGAGTCGCCGTGTAACGGGTAGCGATTCCACACCCGCAACTCATACGTCATCACCGAGCCCGGATAGTCGTAGGTGACCATCAATGTGTCGGGCCACTCTTGATCGTCGTCGAAGTAGTGCTTCCCGCCAGAGGCTGAAACCTTGGTGGGAAACTCCTGCAGGGGGTCTTGCCCCGCCGCGCGACGCGCCGTGTCGAACGCCCAACGGGCGAAGTCCAAGCGATGCACTCCATCGTTCCCCAGGTCGCCCGTGCCGTAGTCGAAGAACCATCGCCAGTTAGCATGGAATCGCAACGGGTTGAACGCCCGTTTCGGGGCGGGACCAAGCCACGTGTCGTAATCCACCCCCTCGGGCACCGGCTCGTCGGCCGGATGACCCAGCGAGCCCTGCTGCCCACTCTCCCAGGCTTTGGCGAACAGCACCTTGCCCAGGGCACCGGTGCGGATGTACTCCATGGCCGAAAGCAAGTGCGGACCACTGCGCGACTGCGTACCGAGTTGCACCACGCGACCGTGCTTCTTCGCCGCGGCGACCATCGTGCGACCTTCGATGATGTTGTGCCCGTCGGGCTTCTCGACGTACACATCTTTACCCGCCTGGCAGGCATGAATCGCCGGTAGGGCATGCCAATGGTCGGGCGTGCCCAACACAATGGCGTCGATCTCCTCGTCGTCCAGTATCCGGCGATAATCTCCCACCGTTTCCGGTCGATGTCCCAACTTGCTCGCCACCCCGTCGGCCCGTTCGTTCAGCACTCTTTGATCGACGTCGCACACATACTTCACATTGGCCGTCGGCAACCCGGCGAAGGTGTTCAGCAACCCGCCGCCGCGCCCCCGCAGGCCGATCACACCCACGTTCACCCGATCGTTCGGCCCGGCGGCCAACAGAGTGGGCTTGGCCAACGTGAACGCCGCGGCCGACATCACCGTTCCCGTGGCCGTTTGCAGAAACTCGCGTCGTCGCATGGTCGTTTCTCCCATACCCCGTGGCACCCCAGCCAATCAAAGCCGCCCCAAGCATTGAGCAATTGTGTGCTACCATACCACCCGCAGTGATGGGTTGCGAACTTTTCGAATGCGAACCGGGTCTCGTTTCCTTTTTTCGCCTTCGCTAGCTGAAACCGTTATCCTGGGCCGTGGGTACTGTCCGTCAGCAGTAACTGCGCCTCTTTCCTCGGGAGTTCTCCATGGACGTTCGTCTTCGCTCGCTGTTGTTAGTTGTCTTGGCCCTCTCCACCGTAGCGGTTCCGGTAGCTGGCGCGGCTGAAAAGTCGCTCGTCGGGCAACAGGTCGACGACTTCACCTTGCGAGACTTCCATGGCCGCGAATACTCGCTATCGGACTTCTCCGAAGCACCCTGTGTGGTACTGACCTTCCTGGGCAATGAGTGCCCGTTGGCCAAGCTTTACGCCTCGCGGTTGGTTCGCCTGGCGAAGGACTACGCCGACCGCGACGTGGCATTCGTAGCGATCAACTCCAACGTGCAAGACACGCCGACCGAGATGGCGGCCTTCGCCGAGAACCACAAGCTCAACTTCCCGCTGCTGAAAGATGCCGGCAACGTGGTGGCCGACCAGATCGGCGCCCAGCGCACCCCCGAGGTCTTCGTGCTGGATGAGAATCGTGTGATCCGTTACCGCGGTCGCATCGACGATCAGTACGGGGCCCAGAATCAACCCCGCATCGACGTCACCCGTCGCGATCTTGCCCTTGCACTCGACGAACTGCTGGCCGGGCAACCGGTGAGCATCCCCGACACGGTCACCCCCGGCTGCATCATCGGTCGCGTCCGCGACGTGCAACCGCAGGGCGACATTACCTATTCCGAGCACGTGGCCGAAATCCTCAACCGGCGTTGTGTTGAATGCCACCGCGAAGGCGAACTGGCTCCGTTCCCGCTTACCTCGTACGAAGACGTGATCGGCTGGTCGGAGATGATCGTCGAAGTAGTCTCGCAGGGTCGCATGCCGCCGTGGTTCGCCGACCCGCGGTATGGCGAGTTCAGCAACGACTGCAGCATGAGCGACGAGGAGAAGCAGACCCTCTACACCTGGGTCAATAACGGTTCGCCGCAGGGCGATCCCGCTGCCACTCCCTCATCGCCGGAGTTCACCCAAGGTTGGAACATCGGGGAGCCCGACGCCGTCTACACCATGCCCGAGCCCTACACCGTGCAGGCCGACGGCACGATCGACTATCAATACTTCACCATCGATCCGCAGTTGACCGAAGACGTTTGGGTCACCGCCGCCGAAGCCCGGCCCGACAATACTTCAGTGGTGCATCACATCGTGCTGTTTGCCCTTCCGCCCGGGGGTGGTGGTTTCGGCGGAGGCGACCGCGCCCGCGGTGATGAAAATCGCCGAAGTGAGCGCGACGATGCAGACGAAGGTGAACGTCGCAGTCGTCGTGGTGAAGGTCGACGTCGTGGAGGCGGGGGCGAAGGCGCCATCGCCGGCGGTCAGCTCATCGCCATCTATGCCCCCGGAATGCCGGCCTGGCAATATCCCCAGGGGATGGCCCTGGAAGTGAAAAAGGGCTCGACCTTCGTCATCCAGATGCACTACACCGCCTGCGGCAGCGAGCAGCAGGACCAAAGCTACATCGGGCTGAAGTTCGCCAAGCCCGGCGAAGTGAAGCAAAGCATTCGCAACGGCATGGCCCTGAACGTCGGCTTTGAAATCCCGCCGCACGACAACGACTATGTCGTCACATCGAAGACCCGTTTCCTGCGAAACACCACGCTGCTGCAACTGTTCCCACACATGCACTACCGTGGGAAAGCCTTCAAATTCGAGGCCCAATATCCCGACGGCACCAGCGAGGTTCTACTCGACGTGCCCAACTACGACTTCAACTGGCAGCTTCGCTACGATCTGGCCGAACCCAAGCACCTGCCCCGCGGTACCACCATGGTCTGCACGGCCCACTACGACAACTCGGCCGACAACCTCTTCAACCCCGACCCCAGCGAGACCGTCGGCTTTGGTCTGCAATCATTCGAAGAAATGATGGTCGGCTATTACACGGCCGTCCGCACCGATGAAGACCTGACCGAGGAGAAGGATTAGCGGCGAAGTAGTGGGCACGCCAAAAAGGGCATTCATTACTGGAGTGAAGTGCTGCGCCGAGTGGGCTTACCACACCAGAAACAGTAAGTGCCCTAACCAGATGGTGCCGAACACCACGATCATGGTGCGGATGAGTGGTGCCGCATCGAGAATGCGATTCATGACAGCACCTCGCCCCGGAGTTCGTCCAGGATGCGGTTCGGCAAGGCGACGCAGCAGGTGCGGCAGTGTTCCGAAGCGCGTTGGCACTGGTTGTGTGGGAAGCGGCGACAGCCGAACAGTTCTTGCATCTGGTCGCGCCATTGCTTGGCCCGTTTCCGTTGTCCGGCCCGATCGTACACGCAGGCCAGAATGTTCATCAGGTTAGGGCACCGCACCAAAGAGGCGTCGAGGGAGTCCAAAATCTTCCACGCCCCCGCGGCGTCGCTGGTGGTCAGCCTCAACAGGCCGAGGTTTGCCGCATAGAGCCGATTCTTCTTGGCTCGATTGTGGGCTTCAGCGATGAAAGGTTCGATCTGCTTTGCGGAGAAGTCGAGCCTGGCGCGATAGAACCCCACACCGAACCACGCTTGGTGGGCCTCGGGCTGATGTTCCAGGATGCGTTCACAAACGACCAGGGCCGTGGAATGCTCAGAGAGCCCACCCAACATGCAGGCCGCTCGGGCGAGCACCTTAATGGGGCACTCCTCGTCGTGCACCAGCGTGGTGAGTTGCGAGCAGCAACGTTCGTCTTCTCCACTGAGGCGATAGCAGTCGGCCAGCGTCAACTCGGCCGAATGCCTTAATCGCCCCAGGGAGCTGGCAACTTCCAGGTCTTCGATGGCCTCGCCATACTCGCCAAAGCGATGCTTGGCACAGCCGCGCATCTGCCACGGTCGAGGGTCGTCGGGAAAGCGGTCGATGGCCCCGTCCAATACTTCGAAGGCCTGATCCACCTCGCGCCGCTCCAGCGAGGTTGCGGCTTGCTTCAGCATGCACTCCAGGTTTTCCAGCACGGTTTCAATTCCTCGCACATGGTTGTGGTTTAGGTCCAAGCCCGTCTGGCTGGGTTCAACCTGGCTGCCGGCTCGTCGTACTCACTTGGTCAGAATGAGTTTGTCGTTTCGGGTGACTCGTAAGCGGTACGCATCGCCGTTATGGAGAATCACCAACTCACGGGCCTCCCCCAACAGGGCACCACTGGCGACCGACTGCGGCTCTTCGCCGGGGCCCTCGGTTGGTTGCTCTTGGTCGTCTGCGTGCATGTTGAAAATGTTCGTAGAAGTCATAGGTGAGAATGCTAATGATATTGAGACTCAATGTCAATATATTGAATCTGGAATCGTCGAAAAACCCGCCAAAGCGTTCTCCAAAGCCCGATATACCTGGAAATCAAGGGTTTTCGCAGCTGCTCCCATTGACGGAGAGGCCAATTTTGGTATTCTCGCAATAGTTGAGACTCTGTCTCAATTAAGTTCTTCGCCAGCCAGGTGCTTTCTCCCAGCCAGCGACGCGAGCCAAACGTCGAAACGTTAAGGCTCGGTCTTGTCGGTTACGTCTTGCTGCCCCTAGGG